TGGTGACTCACACCTCCCAGCTACCAGGGAGGCTGAGGTAGGAGGATTGCTTCAGCCTGGGAACTCAAGGCTGCAGTGAGTCGGCATCATGCCACTGTACTCCAGCCTGGGTGACAGAGGGAGACTCTGTCTCAAAAAAAAAAAGCCAATAATGGTGATATAAACCTGTGGTATCAGCTACTTGGGAGGCTGAGGTAGAAGGATGGCTTAAGCTGGAAGATTGAGGCTGTGGTGAGCCAAGATGCCACTGCACTGTAGCCTGGGTGGGAGACCCTTTCTCAAAATATATATACATATTGAAAATAAGGCCGGGCTTGGTGGCTCATGCCTGTAATTCCAGAACTTTGGGAGGCCAAGGCAGGCAGATCATGAGGTTAGAAGTTTGAGACCAGCCTGGCCAACATGGTGAAATCCCATCTCTACTAAAGATACAAAAAATTAGCTGGGAGTGGCAGTGCACACCAGTAATCCCACCTACTCGGGAGGCTGAGGCAGAGAATCACTTAAACTCAGGAGGTGAAGGTTACAGTGAGCCAAGATCACACCGTTGCACTTCATCCAGCCTGGGTGACAGGGTGAGACTCCGTCTCAAAAAAGAAAAGAAAAGAAAGATGGGCTGGGTGCGGTGGCTCACACCTGTAATCCTAGCACTTTGGGAGGCTGAAGTGGGTGGATCACTTGAGGTCAGGAGTTTGAGACCAGCCTGACCAACATGAAGAAACCCTATCTCTACTAAAAATAAAAATTTAGCTGGGTGTGGTGGCATGCACCTGTAACCCCAGCTACCTGGGAGGCCGAGGCAGGAGAATTGCTTGAACCAAGAGGCAGAGATTGCAGTGAGCCGAGATCATGCCATTGCACTCCAGCCTGGGCGACAAGAGCAAAACTCCATCTCAATAAAAAAAGACAGAAAAGAAAGATGAAATTTTTATCTAAGTTCATTAACTAGAGGCAGTTAGCCAGGCGTGATGGTATTTTGTATATTTAGTCCTGTACTAGGCTCTAGGGGAGGGCCTAAAAGTGGTAAAACATGGCGCTTCTTTCTGGGCCTTCAGCCTGCAGGGAGAGCTAGGGCATGCTACAGTTCATTTCCTCTAAGTAGGTCTAGTTGGTGGCCCTACTTAGTCCCCAGCTGAGAAACCTGTCTTGGGAAGATGCTTAGGATCGTGTGGCAATCAGTGGTAGCCACAGCAGATTAATACACAAAGGCCTGCTCTAATGAAGTTAGTGTCTGAGGAAGACCAGTGTGCTCTTGTGTTTGGGACAATTCTGTACCTGTCACCCAGTCCTTTCCCTGGAAATTTTCAGCTCCATATCCCATCATTTTCCCTTTACAGTCTTTTTTTTTTTTTCTTTTTTGAGACAGAGTCTTGCTCTGTCACCCAGGCTGCAGTGCATTGGTGTGATCTTGGTTCACTACAAGCTCCACCCTCCGGGTTCAAGGGATTCTCCTGCCTCAGCCTCCTGAGTAGCTGGGATACAGGCTTGTTTCACCACTTCTGGATAATTTTTGTATTTTTAGCAGAGATGGGGGTTTCACCATGTTGGCCAGGTTGGTCTCGAACTCCTGACTTCAGGTGATCCACCTGCTTTAACCTCCCAAATGCTGGGATTACAGGCATGAGCCACTGCGCCCTGCTGTTTTCCCCTTATAGTCTGTGTGCTAGGCATTCTGAACTTTCTTCAGTCTGTTGACTGAGTCAACCTCTTTCATGCCTCTGGGCATTTGCACATGTGCTGCCCTCTGCCTAGAACTTTCTTTCCCCCTCCTTCCCTGGCTAGCTTATCCTCAGATCTCCAGAAAACATTTCTGGATTAACCGCTGGCTCCTGTGCGGCTATGCTCCTGTCACCACTGCAGGCACCTCAGGGTATAATGCACTAAGCACCAGGAGGGAGGGATCCATGTTCATCTTTTCACCATCAACTTCCCACTGACTTGTACAGGCCTTCTCTGACCTGTATTTGTTAAGAGATAGGTTATTTAGCAATTAGGCCCTGTTACAAGATGTTGTACAATAAAGAACTTGACTGGGCTAGGCACAGTGGATCAGCCTGTAATCGCAACATTTTGGGAGATTAAGGTGGGAGGATCACTTGAGCCCAGGAATTGGAGACCAGCCTGAGCAATGTCGCCACACTCCATCTCAACAAAAAATTTAAAGAATTAGCTGGGCATGGCGGTATGCACACCTGTAGTCCCAGGGAAGATGAAGCAGGAGGACCGCTTGAGTCCAGGATGAACTATGATTACACCACTGCACTCCAGCCTGGGTGACAGAACAAGACTCTGTCTCTTTTTATTGTATTGTATTTTATTATTTTTTATTTTTAGCACCACATGCAGCCACACTGGACAGAACTGGGCAGGGCCTCACAGGCAAGACACTATCTCTTAAAAAAAAAAAAAAAAGGCAAGGCACAGTGGGTAATCCCAGCACTTTGGGAAGTCTAGGCGGGTGGATCACCTGAGATCAGGAGTTCGAGACCAGCTTGGCCAACGTTGTGAAACCCCATCTTTACTAAAAACATAATTTAGCCAGGCACGGTGGTGGGTACCTGTAATCCCAGCTACTAGGGAGGCTAAGGCAGGAGAATGGCTTGAACCTGGAAGGTGAAGGTTGCAGTGAGCTGAACCTGGGTGACACAGAGTGAGACCTTGTCTCAAAAAAAAAAAAAAGGCTGGGTGTGGTGGCTCACACCTGTAATCCCAACACTTTGGGAGGTCAAGGCGGGTGGGATCAGATGGGGTCAGGAGTTCAAGACCAGCCTGGTCAATATGGTGAAACCCTGTCTCTACTAAAAACACAAAAATTAGCTGAGTGTTGTGGTATGTGCCTGTAGTCCCAGCTACTTGAGAGCCTGAGGCAGAAGAATCCCTTGAACACAGACCCGGGAGGCGGAGGTTGCAGTGAGCAGAGATCTTGCAGCTGCACTCCAGCCTGGGTGACAGAGCAAGACTCTGTCTCAAAGAAAACAAACAAAAACACCTAATTGGCCTTTGTACCTTTTTCCTGAAAAACTCTAAATCTGTGGAATTTCCCATTGTTGGAGTTCTTTATTATTCATGATAGGCCCTAATAGTTTATCCTAATGATGGGACTGGTGGTGGCCCCTACACAGTTTATGCTAAGTATATGAATCAGAATGGGGGAGGGCCATGCCAGAAAGATCAACCATGATTAGAGGATTGGAGCTTTGGCCCAGTTGATATCAGCCCAATAAAACCCCAGTAGGAATTCTGGACACTGAAGTTCAGTGTCCAGAATTCCTACTGGGGTTTTATTGGGTTGCTGGTTGGTGAACACATTGATGTGCCAGTAGGTGCTGTGCCCTGACTCCCCAGGAGTCCCCATGGAAGCTTAGATTCTGGGACCTGTTCCAACCTTGCCTATGCATATTCTTTTTTTTTTGATACGGAGTCTTACTCCATTGCCCAGGCTGGAGTGCAATGGTGCGATCTTGGTTCACTGCAGCCTCCACCTCCTGGGTGCAAGTGATTCTCTTGCCTCAGCCTCCTGAGTAGCTGGGATTACAGGCACGCACCACTATGTCTGGCTAATTTTTGTATTTTTAGTAGAGACACAGTTTTGCCATGTTTGCCCAAGCTGGTCTCAAACTCCTGACCTCAAGTGACCTGCCTGCCTCGGCCTCCCAAAGTGCTGGGATTACAGGCATGAGCCACCATACCCAGCCACCTATTCATATTCTTTATAATAAAACCACAATACCGGCTGGGCTCGGTGGCTCACACCTGTAATTCTAGCACTTTGGGAGGCCAAGGCAGGCAGATCATTTGAGGTCAGGAGTAATCCCAACACTTTGGGAGGTTAAGGTAGGAGGTACTGAACTATCTTAGGAGGTAACTCCTGAGGTCAGGAGTTCGAGACCAGCCTGGGCAACATGGTGAAACTCGGTCTCTACTAAAATACAAAAAATTAGCCGGGCATGGCGGCGTGCACCTGTAGTCCCAGCTACACAGAAGGCTGAGGCAGGAGAATCACTTGAACCCAAGAGGCGGAGATTGCAATGAGCCGAGATCACGCTACTGCACTCCAGCCTGGGCAACAGAGCGAGACTGTCTTAAAAAAAAAACACACACAGGCTGGGCGCGGTGGCTCACGCCTATAATACCAGCACTTTGGGAGGCCGAGGCGGGTGGATCACAAGGTCAAGAGATCGAGACCATCCTGGTCAACAAGGTGAAACCCCGTCTCTACTAAAAATACAAAAATTAGCTGGGCATGGTGGCGCACGCCTGTAGTCCCAGCTACTCAGGAGGCTGAGGCAGGAGAATTGCTTGAACCCAGGAGGCGGAGGTTGTGGTAAGCCACGATTGTGCCATTGTACTCCAGTCTGGGTAACAACAGCGAAACTCCATCTCAAAAAAAACAAAAACAAAAACAAAAACAAAACCCACAATACCACAATCATAAGTCTAGTACTTCTCTGAGTTCTGTGAGCCCTTCTAGTGAATTCTTGAACCTGTGGGGATTGTGGGAACTTCTGAATATATAGCCAGTCGGCCAAACTGTGGCTGACTCTGGGACCCCTAAGATATGCGGCTAGTGTCTGAAGTGAGGGCAGTCTGTGGAAGACTCAGACCATTACTTGTGGGATCTGACACTAACTCCGGTGGCCAGCACCAAACTTGTACAGTGCATGTGGAGGGATGAGAGTCTGCGCCAAGCTGTTGCGGTTAGGAGAAGGAGAGATGAAGCCAGATGAGTGACGCGGAAGGGAAACAATAATATGGGGGGCAATGCACAAGGTGGAGGGGAAAGATGAAGAGTGAGTTCCAAGATGGAAGCCTGACCAAGAAGAATGGAGACACCAATGACAGAAAGAGAGAGTTGGAGGGTTTGGCTGTAATTAGGGCAAAGAGGAGAGAGGGCCTTTGTTCTTTGCTGCTAAGTCACAAGATTAAGCATTCTACCCTCTGTCCCCTAGCTCACAACAATGGAGTCCAACTCCTCTGATTCTGTCATTCATCCTTTTCAGCATAGGATCATCAGTGCCAGTGCAGCGGTGACCACCATCCACATGCCAGTGCTCCGTAACATTTCTCCCTAAGGACCCCATGCCTGGAGCCGGCTAATAGCACACGGACCCACCACCTTCCTGACGGGTGACATATTCCTCCAACTGGATTCTGGCAACCTTTAGTTTTTACTTCTCCACAGACACATGCTCTCCTGCGTCTCATGCCTGTCTCTCAACACACATTCTAGAAGCGGGAGGAGGAAGCAATTTGGACACTGTCAAATGGGAGAAGTGGTGTGTGGTGACAGATAGCAACCCTGGTGGCCTGTCCTGAGTCTGGGAGAGAGCCAAGGTGGGGCTCCCATTACAGCTCTTCAGAATCCTATGGGCCCCCTGCAGAGACAGAGGCGTGACATAGACAAGGGGAGGAGGACTTTCCTCATCTACCACTGGTCTATGCAAACCTCCCCAAATGCCAAGGGAGCTGAGACGCTGCAGAAAGAGACCGAAGCCAGGCATGGTGGCTCACGCCTGTAATCCCAGCAGTTTAGGAGGCTGAGGTGGACAGATTACCTCAGGTCAGGAGTTCGAAGCCAGCCTGGCCAACGTGGTGAAACCTCATCTCTACTAAAAATATAAAGTTAGGCCAGGCGTGGTGGCTCACGCCTGTAATCCCAGCACTTTGGGAGGCTGAGGTGGGTGGATCACCTGAGGTCGGGAGTTCGATATCAGCCTGACCAACATGGAGAAACCCCGCCTCCACTAAAAATACAAATTAGCTGGGTGTGGTGGTGGGTGCCTATAATCCCAGCTACTTGGGAGGCCAAGGCAGGAGAATCACTTGAACCCAGGAAGCAGAGATTGCAGTGAACTGAGATTGTACCACTGCACTCCAACCTGGGAAACAGAGTGAGACTCCATCTCACAGACAGAGAGAGAGACTGATGTATCCAGTTTCTCAGAAAGAAACATTTAATAGTGACTTAGAAACAGAAGACAAGTGGCTGCCAGTCAGTCACCCCTGAGTCCCAGGGCTGAAGCACCATAGGGAAGGATATACATGCTTCAGCAGGAACGTGTGGCACTACTGAAGTCAACTCCTCAGGGAAAGACACAGAATGCTATGTGAATCTACCCAAGAGCAGGATTTAAGGTCACAGTAGATAAAGTGGCAATCTTAGAGACATTCCCAGAACAAGGGTTAACCAGAGGATAACATGGCAGATCAGTATCCAAGACGGGGCGGCTTCATCCTCCACAACAAGCCAGGCTGGGATCCCTGTTCTGAAACCCAGTGGAACTGCCCCTTGCTTCATCCCTTGGAAACTCTTAGAAGGTACCATCCTTCTTGGGAGTCCACGAGGTCCCAGCCTCCAAAGCACCATATAATTTAGCTCTTTTCATCTGCTTTATTTAGCCAAGACCACTTCCTTGTAACTTCCACAGGTGAGATGTTTGGAAGTGGGAAGGGCTTCTGTACTACATTTGGCAGTGATCTAGGGGAGAGAGGAGCTGTGGTGAACAGGCCTGCTTCCTAATTCCTTCTGTTGCCTCAGATCCGTGGGCAATGGGAAGCTGCTTAACCGGTTAGACTGTTGGGTTAGTCTTGGCCATTCCTTCTCAGCCTCCTCTTTTTCTGTCGACCCCTTAAATGTTGGGCTCCCAGGCCCTGCACACTCCCCTAGATAGCCTTACCCATCCACATACCAGTGCTTCCCAAATATTCATCTCCATCCCAGACCTCTTTGTCTTTTTTTTTTTTTTTTTTTTGAGACAGAGTCTTGCTCTGTCACACAGACTGGAGTGCAATGGCCCAATTTCAGCTCACTGCAACCTCTGCCTCCCCAGTTCAAGTGATTGATTCTTCTGCCTCAGCCTCCTGAGTAGCTGGGATTATAAGCATGTGCCACCACAACCGGCTAATTTTTTTATATTTTTAGTAAAGACAGGGTTTCACCATGTTGGTCAGGCTGGTCTCGAACTCCTGATCTCACGATCTGCCTGCCTCGGCCTCCCAAAGTGCTGAGATTACAGGCGTGACCTGCCACGCCCGGTCCAACCCAGATCTCTTCTGACTCCCTCCTGGATACCTCCACTTACATGTCTCCTTGACATTTCAAACAACACATCCTAAGCAAAGCACATCATCTTCCTCCAAAACATGTCCCTATCACAGGTAATGACATTATTATCTACCCAGTGGTTCAAGCAAGAAGCATGGGCATCGTCATTGGCTCCTCTCTCCCCATCCCTCTTCCCCAACACCCAGTTCGTGTTGCTTTATTTTGTTTGTTTGAGACAAGAGTCTCGCTCTGTTGCCCAGGCTGGAGTGCGGTGGTGCGATCTTAGCTCACTGCAACCTCTAGCTCCTGGGTTCAAGCAATTCTCCTGCCTCAGCCTCCTGAGTAGCTGGTACTACAGGTATGTGCCACCACATCCAGCTAATTTTGTATTTTTAGTAGACACTAAAATGTATTTTGTATTTTTAGGGGTTTCACCATGTTGGCCAGGCTGGTCTCAAACTCTGACCTCCTGATCTGCCTGCCTCGGCCTCCCAAAGTGCTGGGTTTACAGGTGTGAGCCACCGTGTCTGGCTGTTCACGGTGATTCTGTCTCCTAATAGCCCCCGAATTCTTCCACTTCTCTTCATCTCCACTGCCACTACCCTAGTCTGGGCTAGCATTGTTTCTGCCTGAAGACTGTGTAGCTTTCTCCTCCGACTCCCATGTCCTCTCCTGCCTCCCACCTCTGCAGAGTGATTTCTCAAAAATGCAGAGCTGTTCATGTCTATCTGCTGTATAAACCCATCCAAATGGTTTCTACTACTCTTAGAATCGAGTCCAGATTCCTGTTCTGTTAGGCCTTTGATTTTACCTGTCCCGTTTCCCATTTGTATTATGCTTGATGTTCCAGACAGACTCACTCCCCTCTGTTTAGCTCCTTACCAGGCCTCTCGCCTCTGCGGCTTTGCAAAGATCCTTGTTTTTCTAGCGTGCCACCCACCTTTATGTAACAAACTGCTACTCTTCCTTCAGGTCTCAGCCCACTCCGAGAATCCTTCCCTGATCCCAAAAGTCCAGGCCACATCCCTTGCTATGCGCTCCGTGGCACCCTGGGCTTCCCCTCAATTGAAGTCCCTTGTTCCAAGTCTATATCCCTCATGTGTGCCCTCCAGGAGGAGGTCCTTGACAGTGTCGTTCCCTGAGTGACAGTATGGGCAGGGCTGTTTCACAGTGCTTTGTCTCATTCTGTAGTCGCAGGCTGCCCCTCCAGCCTGACCAGGCAGAGGGGGCTGCACAAAGCCCTTCCTGCTTGCGGGAGCATGGCCCAATGTTGCAGGCACTCTCAGGGGGCTGCCCACACAGAAAGGTTTCCTGAAGCCCCACAGGATGCCAAGACCTGGGCCCCACTGCAGCGGGTCTCAGGTCTCTACTGTCTTGCTGTTTGCTGCCCCCAAGTGTCCAATGACAGAAGTTTTATTTGTTTTCCACCACCAGAGGGTCTTACACACAGCAAGTGCTGGGAGAGCGCCGCAAGCCAGGCCCCAGGATACTGACTGTCCTGCTGCCGTGGGAGACATTCCTTCACCAGGCTCACCACTGACTGATGGCCACCCCGCTTCTTTCCAGCCTTTCTCCATTATCCATGTTCTGGTTTGGGCAGTGTCCCAGACACAGTTCAGAGGGAAGCCCATTGGTTGGCTGGCCTATTGGAGAGCAGAGGATGCCCTGGCTGGGAGCCTCTCTAAAACAGGTGGCCCCCACCAGGCGATCCCATCTGGATGCTCTCACCCACACTCCTCCTCTGTGCTTAGCCCCTGCCTGCTGCTTCCCCGGCCAGTAGTGCTCCTTCCAGCAACTGAGGATAACAGTAACATATGCTTAGTTCAGTGTTGTGTCTTTTTCTGTGCAACTGAAGGACCCTGGTGGCTGCTAGACAGATGTTAAATTAAGAAAGAAAAGACACTAGGCCGGGTGCGGTGGCTCACGCCTATAATCCCAGCACTTTGGGAGGCCAAGGCGGGTGGATCACAAGGTCAAGAGATCGAGACCATCCTGGTCAACCTGGTGAAACCCCGTCTCTACTAAAAATACAAAAATTAGCTGGGCATGGTGGTGCGCGCCTGTAGTCCCAGCTACTGGGGAGGCTGAGGCAGATTGCTTGAACCCAGGAGGCGGAGGTTGTGATGAGCCGAGATCGTGCCATTGTACTCCAGTCTGGGTAACAACAGTGAAGCTCCGTCTCAAAAGAAAAGAAAAGACACTTACTGATTCTCCCTGCCTTTCCACTTACACAGGGCCAATCTCCTTCATTTGACCTGATAACAAGAATTCATGACTTTGAATGATTGGACGAATCAGGTAGAAAGGGAAAATGCTTGGCCGGGCGTGGTGGCTCACGCCTATAATCCGAGCACTGTTTGAGGCTGAGGCAGGCAAATCACTTCAGGTCATGAGTTTGAGACCAGCCTGGCCAACATGGTGAAACCCTGTCTCTGCTAAAATTACAAAAATTAGCTGGGCATGGTGGCTTGTACCTGTAGTCCCAGCTACTCAGAAGGCTGAGGTGGGAGGATCACTTGAACCTGGGAGGTGGAGGCTGCAGCCAGCCGAGATGGCGCCTCTGTACTCTAGCCTGGGTGACAGTACGACTCCATCTCAAGAAACAAACAAAAAAACCACAGAAGTTCATTTCCTACACTCAAAACATTCAGTGTTATCTTGTCTTCATGGCACTCCTCAGTGCTGGAAGAACCAGTCTCCTTTTATTTATTTATTTTTTTTTGAGAGGGAGTCTCACTCTGTTGCCCAGGCTGGAGTGCAGTGGTGCAATCTGGGCTCACTGCAACCTCTGCCTCCTGGGTTTAAGTGATTCTTCTGCCTCGGCTTCCCAAAGAGCTGGGACTACAGGTGCGCACTGCCATGCCTGGCTAATTTTTGCATATTTAGTAGAAACAGGGTTTCACCATATTGGCCAAGCTGGTCTGGAACTCCTGACCTTGTGATCTACCTGCCTTGGCCTCCTTTTATCTTTTTTTCCTGAGACAGGGTCTTGCTCTGTTGCCCAGGCTGGAGTGCAGTGGTACAATCACAGTTTACTGCAGCTTCAACCACCTGGGCTCAAGGGATTCTCCCACCTCACCCTCCCAAGTCATTTCCTCTTATCTTGTTGCTCTGTATGGTGCCAATTCCCAAAGTTACTTCAGTTTGGCTGCTGGACTTCCAGCTGCAATGTCTGCATTCCAGACAACAGGAAGCAAGAATGGATAAAGAGAAAAATGTATCCTTCTTGTAAGAACACTTGGAAATTGTATACATCATTTTATCTCCCATTGGCCACAATTTAATCATAACTGGGAGGGAAACTGGGAGATGTCATCTTTATGTTCGGCAGCCACAACCCCAGCTAAAATGCTGAAACATTCTTTTTTTTTTTTTTTTGAGATGGATTCTTGCTCTGTCGCCAGGCTGGTGTGCAGTGGTATAACCTCGGCTCACTGTGACCTCCGCCTCACAGGTTCAAGCAATTCTCCTGCCTCAGCCTCCCAAGTAGCTGGGATTACAAGTGCACTTCACCATGCCCAGCTAATTTTTGTATTTTTAGTAGAGACTGGGTTTCACCATGTTGGCCAGGATGGTCTTGATCTCTTGACCTTGTGATCCACTCGCCTCAGCCTCCCAAAGTGCTGGAATTACAGGTGTGAGCCACCGCAACCGACCATTTTTTTTTTTTTTTTTTTTGAGACAGTCTTGCTCTGTCGCCCAGGCCAGACTGCAGCGGCGCGATCTCAGCTCACTGCAATCTCTGCCTCCCTGATTCAAGCGATTCTCCTGCGTCAGCCTCCTAACTGGGATTACGGGTGCACACCACCACACCCAGGTACATTTTTTGTTGAAGACGGGGTTTCACTGTGTTGGCCAGGCTGGTCTCAAACTTGAGTGATCCACCAGCCTTGGCCTCCCAAAGTGTTGGGATTTTAGGCGGGAGCCCCTGCGCCTCGCCAGAACATTGTTTCTAGAGAGGAATCAATTATTGAAGAACAACCGGCAGCCTCTCCCACAGGGAGTGCTGGGGAAGTCAGCAGAACACAAAGTGAGTGAAAGGGAAATAGTGAATGGCATGTGCCTACAATGGCCAAGGTTTTCTTTGAACTGGGTGAACAGTCTGGCAGTAGAGGATCCTGACTCCCTAGCCTGGGAAGATGATACATGAAGTTGAGGTTTGAAAATAAAAGCCACCACTTGGAGGGGCTGCAGAAATGACTCTGAGGATAGCTGGTTTTCCTTGAAGGCAAGGAGGGGCAGAGAGATAGCCTGGAGAGTTCACCAGAGGGCCCGTGGGATTGGGTGGGTGGGAATGGAGCTGGGTTAGGGTCAGCAAGGATAGGGTTATATGGCTACTGGATGAAAAGCCAGTTGATTTGGTCTTGATAGTGCCTGAGGAGGGTGAGTCTTACTTGGGCATTGGGACCCAAAACAGAAACTGCTCCCTCTTCAAAATCCACGAATCTAACATCACAGCCAACCAGGAAGTTACCTCACACATCATTCTCTGAATTTTGCCATCAAGCACTTAATAAACTTGGTATCTAAGCCTTGGCACCAGCCTCCAAATTGTACATTCAACACTTTAAAGACACACATATCCTTTCCAAGGGTAAGGAAAGAACATTCCATTGTCAAAAATGATCCTGAGGAGTCCCATACTGCTCAGGGTAGCTCAGTTTGCAAAGCAATGAGAAAAACACCTGAAATAGTTTTTCCCATACCCATCATTTAACACTGCTTCATTATTTTAAGTTTCTTCTTAGGGTGGCTACTCTACCAGGAGCACACAGAAGGGCTCAGCCTCCCAGCCCAGTTCTCCAGGCCCTCATGCTCTCAGGGATCTGAGATTATAGTTTCCATTCCCAGGGAAACGCCTTTCATCAAGATGTGAACATTCTAGGAGGCCAGCCAACTTAAGCTGTACAACAGAACAGTCATGAGGAAGGGACCTCTATACACAGTTCTGTGAGCAAAGGAAGCACTGGACAGCAAAGGAAGCAGACAGCTGCCAGCAGGAAGTCCAGATACACTGCCTCCAGGAAGTGAGACTGCAGGATGCTGAGAAACAGATTTAGTATGGATGGGCACAGCTTCCCTCATCTGTGTGACCCCAAGCAATTCAGTCAACCTTAATTCATCCTTTATTAAAAAGGCAGGGAGGAGCTATCAAGTACATTGGTGAATTTTAGTGAGAATTAATTCAGATATATATGCCTCACATATGTTTGGCTTGAGGGAAGTGTTATACACAGCTAATTTTTTTTTTTTCTGAAATGGAGTCTCACTGTCACCCAGGTTAGAGTGCACTGGCACAATCTTGGCTCACAACAACCTCTGCCTCCCAGGTTTAAGGAATTCTCCTGCCTCAGCCTCCTGAGTGGCTGGGATTATAGGCGTGTGCCACCATGCCCAGCTATTCTTGTATTTTTAGTACAGACAGGGTTTCACCGTGTTGGTCAGGCTGGTCTTGAACTCCTGACCTCAGGTGATCCACCTGCCTTGGCCTCCCAAAGTGCTGCGATTATAGGCATGAGCCACCATAGCTATTATTTTTAATTCTATTAGACATAAACTCCCTGGGGCTGGTGATAGTGTTTTGCAATAATAACTGATCAACAACAGTCAATGGAATAAGTGAAGAGTAGAATTCCAGCATACGAAATGTCTAGGACCTAGGGATGAGAGCACCAACCACCTCTCTCAGAGGAGAGCTGCTGGGCCGGGTGCAGTGGCTCATACCTGTAATCCCAGCACTTTGGAAGGCCAAGGCAGGCAGATCACTTGAGGTCAGGAGTCTGAGACCAGCCTGGGCGACATGGTAAAACCCAGTCTCTACTAAAAATATAAAAATTAGTTAGGTGTGGTGGTGCGCGCCTATACTCCCAGCTACACAGGAGGCTAAGGGAGGAGAATCGCTTGAACCCGGGAGGTGGAGGTTGCAGTGAGCTGAGATTGTGCCATTGTACTCCAGACTGGGCAACAGAGTGAGACTGTCTCAAAAAAGAAAGAGCTGCTGATTTAGAAGCAAATATCAGGAATGCTGAGTTCTGAGGCCAGCACCAGGCCAGCCCTGAGACAGCCAGAAACACTGAGAAACTTCCACAAGCAACAATTCTTTACATTCAGCACAGTGTAGAACTTAGGGAGAAATCTAGAAAATTTTGGTCCAGATGAGAACAATGAGGTGGTAAGGAGCTGATCTGCACACTATTGCTGAATCTGTCTGCACCCCCTAAACCCCAAGGATAAGAAAAGGGAGAGTAAAACATCCCTCAAAGCTGAGGAGGCAACTGAGGCACTCGGGTGATCACTGGGTGCTGTGAAGTGGGGAACAGAAGCCCCTGTTCCAGCCTCAGGCATCTGACTTGTCCTTATCGATGTTTTCTCTGAGCCACATGCTGTTTCCGGGGCCGAGAAGGGGCAGGCCGTGTTAGAGCAGAACTGAAAACAGACACAGCCGCGGAAGGAACATCAACAGCAGATCATCGAGACAGCTGAGATTCTGGCACTTTGGTCCTTGTCTGTCCAAGATATTTTTGGAAACAACATAGGGTGCTCCTGAAGGTCATAAGGGAGGGGGCAGCTCGCACTCAGGGGAAAACCATGAGGCCCAGGTGAGCCCCTGTGGTCAGTCAGCAGCTCCCTTCCCGGGTCCAGTTTTGGGCATTGATAAAGAGCTGGAGCCAGGGGGAGGTGGTCAGGGTATCAAATGGAGGGGGTCGCCACGCCCACTGCCAAGGCCTCACGGCCCGCTCAGGGTGAGGCATAAGAGCCAGGTGGCGGCCATCAGGGGAGCAGATGCCAGCCACACCCCCTGGAGACCCATTGGGATTCAGGGGGTACTGCTCCGTGGGGTTCCCGTCATCATCTGCCCAGTGCAGTGGGGCCAAGCCCTTGGCCTCAATCTGAGCTTGGAGTTCTGGAGAAGAAAACGCCATATAACCTGGGACAGAAAAAGGAGGGAGGTGAGAGCCAAGGTCCTTCATGCCCACCCTCAGCCCCGACCCACAGGCCCTCCCCCAGCCTTCCTTGGGCCTGACCTTCCCCATGGGCGCTCCACACGGGCAGCACGGCACCCTCCATCCCTCGCAGCATCAGAGCTGGCCCAGGACCCACACGCACGCTGGCCCAGCGAGACTCAAAGCGCCCAGACAGGTTGTGGCGTAGCAGAAGGCCTGGCCGGGCTGGCTGGGAGTCAGGGCCCATCTCCGTGGCATCCTCATTGGGGTCGCCTCCCACCCAGCCCAGCAGAGCCAGCAGTTGACAGCCATTACACACGCCCAGGCTGAAGGTGTCTGGCCGCTTCTGGAAGCGCCTTAGCTCAGCCCCAGCTCGGGGATGAAAGGTCACGGCAGCTGCCCACCCTAGCAGGGAATAGGGAAGCCAGGGTGAGACATGAAGACCTCAGAAAAGGGAACTGGGAATGAAGGGACACAACTGCTCTTCTGTACATTTTCCTTTTTCTTTCTTCCTTTTCTCTCCTTCCTTCTTTCCTTTTTTTTTTCTCGATACAGAATTTCACTCTTTTGCCTAGGCTGGAGTGAAGTAGCAGGATCTCAGCTCACTGCAACCTCTGCCTCCAGGGTTCAAGTGATTCTCCTGCCTCAGACTCCCAAGTAGCTGGAATTATAGGCACCTGCCACCAGGCCCAGGTAATTTTTTTATTTTTAGTAGAGATGGGGTCTCACCATGTTGGCTCAGCTGGTCTCAAACTCCTGACCTCAAGTGATCCACCCGCCTTGGCCTCCCAAAGTGCTGAGATTACAGGTGTGAGCCACCACACCCAGCCCCCAAAATTTAAACATATATACATGAAACACAGTTTTACTCTGTTGCCCAGGCTGGAGTGCGGTGGCACAATCTCAGCTCACTGCAACCTCTGTCTCCTGAGTTCAAGTGATTCTCATGCCTCAGCCTCCTGAGTAGCTGGGATTACAGGTGCAAACCACCACATCCGGCTAATTTTGTATTTTTAGTAGAGATAAGATTTTGCCATGTTGGCCAGGGTGGTCTCAAACTCCTTACCTCAAGCAATACTCCTGCCTTGGCCTCCTAAAATGTTGGGATTACAGATGTGAGCCACTGCACCTGGCCAAAATCGAGAAAATTGAGGCGGCTCACATCTGTAATCCTAGCACTTTAGGAGGGCAAGGTGGGCGGATCACCTGAGGTGGGGAGTTTGAGACCAGCCTGATCAACCTGAAGAAACCCCATCTCTACTAAAAATACAAAATGAGCCTGGTGCAGTGGCGCATCCCCGAAATCCCAGCTATTTAGGAGGCTGAGGCAGGAGAATTGCTTGAACTCAGGAGGCAGAGGTTACAGTGAACTGAGATCACACCATTGCACTCCAGCCTCGGCAACAAGAGTGAAACTCTCTCTCTCTCTCTCTCTCTCTGTGTATACACAGACACACACACACACACACACACATATATATATATATACACACACATATATATATTTAATAAAAAAAATTTATTAACAGCCTTCTGTTGGCATGTGATCCAAAATGAATGTGCCCACTCTCTCCTAGCTTGGTGAAGTGAGAGGCCAATCCCCAGCCCAGAAAGAGGGGGCTAAAGGCACCTCTTTGGGAATGTGGGGTAAGGGAGCAGGCAGATGCCTGTACACTGACCTTTGGCAGATCCCAGGACGTCTGCGTAGCTGAAACCACCCACGAAGGCCACGCCTCGGAAGGTGTCCAGCCCAATTGCCCCAGAGCAGAGGTCCTGCATGGTCACATCCCACACCTGCGAAGATGGGGACGGGAAATGTGGGAGGACATGCAGCTGAAGCTGGATCACCACCCCCACACCTGCCCCCTACCCTGCTCACCTCAAAACCAGCCAAGTGGAAGGCATCGGCCATTTCCCGGTCCCCATTACTGCCCTCCTCTCGCAAGATGGCGACTCGGGGGCTGGGACCACCTTGGGGGAAAATAAGTGTTTTTGGGCCAGAAAGGTACTTCCCCACCCCTACTCCCCAGATCCCTTTTCCAGGGCAGGCCCAGGCATCCAGGCTGATTGCACCCAGGACGTGGAGCCTCTGCACACACTCCCTCACCAGGCTCATGGGGCACAGAGGCTTTGGGAAAGGTGGGGGGCAGGCAATAGCTGGGCCCCATCCGCTTCCTCAGGCCCTGTTCCTCCTCTGTCACAAAGTGAGGCTCTGCCTGTAGCCGATCCAGCTGGAAACTTGTCTCCTCCCAGAGGGCTCGAAGCTCCCCAACAGGCTCCTCCAGAACCACAGCCCCATTCACTGACACCCGGACCTAGGGAGAGGAACAAGTCTCCCAAGGACTAAGAGAAAGGATGGCCCCCTCCACAGTGGGAGAGGGAGGGACCACAGCCGCCTCACTCTGACTGTCCACTGCACACCGCTCTTTCCCTCACTTCCTCACCATGGCATGGGACCCAGCCTGGCCTGTGTGGCCCAGCTCCAGGCAGTGGAGGCCAGCGTCCCAGTAACGCTTCAGCACTTGGGCCAGGTCCAGCTCCTGCACCTCCAGCACCAGGCCTGGCTCCTCAGCAAACAGCACAGACAGCACTGGGAGAGCAACGAGGGGATCGGGGGATGCAGGAGGGGCCAAGAAAGTTGGGGCAGGGGTCGGGGGGGTGCAGGAAGGGCCAAGGAAGTCAGGGTAGGGGTCAGGAGGATGCAGGAGAAGCTGAGGGAGTCAGGGTGGGGGTCACGGAGGGTGACGGCTGGGAGGGTGGGACTGAGGATGTTTCATCACCAACATCTAAGGGATGGGAGGACTCAGAGGGGTGCAGTCAGGAACATGGTGGGTGCCAGCCAGTTCCATCCAGTTCAGCTGTCAGAGAGACAGCACAGAAGAGCTAGTCGGGGAAGACTCAGGAAAAGGGGGTTGGTGGGCACTCCACTCTTTAATATATTGGAGATGGGGTCTGCAGGGTGGAGAAGGCAGCCCAGGCCTGAGACTTAGACCCCAGGTTTCTTACCATCAACCCCAGGGACAGACACGTCTACCCATAGCCCACAATTTCCAGCAAAGGCCATCTCCAGCAGGCATGTGACGAGGCCTCCGTCACTGACATCATGGCCTGAGCAGAGAAGGCGGTCTGGAGGAAGAAGAAAGCTCAGCAATCTCAGGGCCCAAACCTGACAGCCCTGTGCCACCTTCTAGAGTCAGTCCATCAAGAGTGTGTGCAAGCATGTTGGGGGGAACCAGGGTACATCCTCCATTGAAGTCCCTTGTGCCCTACCCGCGGCACACCTGGCACCCCATGTGCCATCTCCCCCGGGGGCCTCACTCACCTTTCAGCAGCCCCTGGGTGATGCTGAAGGCACACACCAAGTTCTCGGGAAAGTCCAGATCGGGAGGGTGCTCTCCGAGCTGGGAGAAGCATTGGGCCAAAGCTGTGCCCCCCAGCCGGTGCTGCCCAGGGCTCAGAGGCACATAGAGCAGATGGCCTGGGGAGACAGAGAGGGGTGAGGAGAGGGGGATGGCTCAGGAGGACCCATCCCTGAGGTGTTCACAGCACTGCTCTTCCCAGCATATGGTGAGAAACCCAATCAGTCCCAGAAAACACCACAGCTCGGTGTTGAGATGGTGGGGGCCCAGCACTCACAAAGTAGGGGCCAAGCAAAGAACACACAAGCCAGTGGGATGGGGCCACACCCATACCTTTCCCTTCAGGATGCTTGAGGTCTGGGGTCACGGTGGCTGTAATGTCTGGACAGACGGCATAGGCTGAGATGACCAGAGACCCTGAAGAGCAAGAAGTCTGAAAGAGTGAGTTGCCAGCCCAGCCCTGTAGTTCCTCCTCCCCTCCCTGGGGCCCCTACACCTCACCAGGAGCCCGCACAGTCTCCGTGCCAACCCGAGCAGCCATACTGAGGGAGTCCTTGCCGCCGTCCACTGCCACACCCAGGGCTGCCATCACTGCCACCATAGCCTCGCAGGCATCCGCCAAAGCTGCACCCTCCCCTGGGAGCTTGGCTGCCCACATCCAGTTCCCGCTACACTTAACATCCTGGGGGTGGGAGAGGCACACCATTAGAGGGGAAGAGAGATGTTAAGAGGCCAGGGGTGCAGTGGGACTGGAAGCTTGCAAACGTGAAATGCAGGGTGACAGAGGGACATGGAAGTGTCCTGAAACCCTGGGGGCTCCAGGGGAGAAGCCGTGGGAGAACTCACCCGGAGGTCGGTGACCAGGGCAAACACCAGGTTGGTGAGGGCTTCGGCCACAGCCAGCCGGGCAGCAACCTTGGGGTCCAGCAGGCTCTTGACTGGCTGCTCTCCCAAGGCTGTGGCAGCCCCTACAAGCTCCTCATGGCTCAGTGCTACAACGGCTACATCTGCCAGAGGAGTCTGCAGGGGCCCCACACACTGCTGCTGGGCCACCAGGCCGCCCACAGAGCGGTCCACCTGTAGAAACCAGTGGGGTTGGCAAGAGAGCAAGGGACAGGGAGAGTCTGTGCTCCTGCGCCTGTCCCAGAGGGACCCAGGGCAATGCGAAGCCTGGCTTTCCCTCAATGCAGGTAAGAGCTCTACTCAGAGGGTGGGCAGCAGGGAGACCAGGCTGTCAGGGTAGCTGCCTGCCCGTTACTTCCCCCCAGTGCCAGGCAAAACCCCCAGAGCAGTTTCTAAGGGCAGGAGGGCAGGGGAGGGTGAGCGAAGGAAGCATGCAAGGGGCAGAGCAGGGGTGCGGGGAGGACCTTATTGGTGAGGTAGCGCTTGCTGGCCACGGCAGGCAGCCTCAGAACCCTCTCCAGAGCCTGGCGCACGCTCAGCCCTACAGGCAAGGCCAGAGGCTGTAGCACAGGGGGGCTCCTCTGGAGGAAGAACTCCTGCAACACAGACAATGACAGGGAGTGTGAGCACCTGGCGCAGGCTGGGCACACAGGTGCCAAAGTGCATGTAGGGTAAAGGGTGGTGTGGAGAGGAGGGCCACAGGGAAACTCATCCCCAAACCCCACATACCTTCCGAGGCATCTTGCCCAGAACCCATTCGAGCTCCAGGTCCACAGGGGTTGGTGGGGATGTTGGGGGGGCATCCCCCTGGCCATTTCTTCCTACAGGACACTCTCGATCGTCTATCAGCACTATCTATAGACCACAGGGACCCCACCCAGAGGGGATAAGACCATGAACACCAGCAGGAAATGTTCTAGAATCCCTGCCCCTCCTTGGCTCCTACATTCCCCACACCTTGTTTGCCACCACATCCCAACTTCCTCTTGTCTCTCTCCCAACTCTCCCTCTAGCCCACACCCACGTGGTTCAAGTCTGCCCTCAGTGTCTGTCCCCAACTCCCTGGGCCAACTCACTCTCCGGTCTCCAGTGATGGTGCCCACAAAGGAAGTCGGGCAACGCTCCCGGGCACTGACATGAGTCAGGAAGTTCCGGTGGGGGGGCCTCAGCAGAAGTGCATTTGATTCCTGGTACTCGGCCCCCCAGATTTCCAGGGCATTCAGGGTTGGGTCCCCTAGCTGCACAGCCATGGCAGGGAGGAAAGAGAAGGGTCAGTGGGCACTCCCAAGTCTCATCTTGTTGCAAAAGAGATGGCTGGAGGCTGGCTGGGGCTGGCAAGGGTGGGGAAATGCCAGGCTTCAGAGGATGAGACCCACCTGGAAGCGGCTGGTGTAAATAATGGCTCCAGCTGGGTCACTCAGCTCCTTTAGGACGTTGCCTGGTGAGAGGATTGCAAGGAGAAGTGGTGACCTAGTAGTGGTGACCAGGCAACAAAGGGCAGTCCCTGGCCTCCATAGGAGCCCCTAATTGTGTGTGTTCCTGTGTGAACTGCTAGCGCATCCTCACCAACAATCATCCCATGGCAGCAGGCTTCCACCCTTCCAACCCTGAACCTGTATATTATGTACACAGGATAGAGAACGGGACCCAGAGCTGGGTGGTTGGTTGGAGATTCCTGATGCCTTTCCCTGATCCAAACCTGGCAGGAAACCAGGCAGGCCCAGTCCCTTGTTCCAACTCCATTCCTCACCATTCCCACCAGCGCCCTGGTCATGGAGGCTGCAGATGGGGTTTCCGTTGGGGGCCTCCACACAAGCCCTGATCACACGGTTCATCTTCTGTTCCATCTCCGGGTCGCCCCGCTGCACAGCCCCAAAGTCCAGGTCACTGGTGTTATCTCCCTGCACCTGGGGGAATATATGGCATAGCTCAGCTCAGTGAGGCTGGAATCTCTGGTACACTCCCCTATGCCTGGGGCCCAGTTATATCATGGCTTCTGCACCATTAGCAATTCCCACTCACCTGCACAGATGAAGCAGCTCCACCTCCAACTCCAATCCTATAGACAGGACCCCCAACCTTTACAACTTCCATACCTGTGAGAGAAGAAAAGGCAGAATCAGAACATCGGGGAAGCTACCAGAACAGGCCCTGAAAGCGAGGCAGCTCGAGGACAAAGGAAGCTGACATCAGGGGAGGAGCATTACCACTTGACTGGGTTGAAAGGAGAGTAAACTGGTATAAACTACAGAGGATGATTTGGCAACATCAACCAAAATGACAAATGTGTAGAGTCTTTTTTTTTCTGAGACAGGCTGGAGTACAGTGTCATGATCTTTTAAATAGAGAAAGAATAGTCTTTTATTTTTTATTTTATTTTTTTTAAGATAGGGTTTTACCACGTTGGCCAGGCTGGTCTCAAACTCCTGACCTCAGGTGATCCGCCCACCCTGGCCTCCCAAAGTGCTAGGATTACAGGCTTGAGCCACCACACCCAGTCAAGAATAGTCTTTTCAAAAGGTGGCATTAGAACAGTAGGATACCTACATGTGAAAGAATAAATTGAGACCCCTTACTTCACACCACAGGCAAACTCATCCATAGGCTCATTTATCATTTTGTAGTTATGACATCAAAACAAAAAGCAGTAAAAGAAAAAATAGGCCGGGGAGATCATGACCAACCTGGCCAACATGGTGAAATCCCATCTCTACTAAAAATACAAAAATTAGCTCGGTGTGGTGGTATGTGCCTGTAGTCCCAGCTACTCGGGAGACTGAGGCAGGAGAAGGCTGACACAAAAGGTCACATATTGTATGACTCCATTATGGTCATGGGCTGATTAACGACATTTTGCTTAACAATGGACCATATATACAACAGTGATCACTTAAGATTAAAATGGTGCTGAAAAATTCCTATTGCCTAATGACATTGTAGCCATGCTGGTGGTGAAACTATTATAAATAAACCTACTGCGCTGCCACTCATACAACCGTATAATGCGTATCATTATTGTATGTACACTACATAATACTTCAAAATGACAAGAAATAACTACTGCTAGTTCATATATTTACTATACTTTTTTTTTCCCAAGACGGAGTTTCGCTCTTGTTACCCAGGCTGGAGTGCAATGGCACGATCTTGGCTCACCGAAACCTCCGCCTCCAGGCAAGTCTCCCGCCTCAGCCTCCTGAGTAGCTGGGATTACAGGCATGCGCCACCATGTCCAGCTAATTTTTTGTATTTTTAGTAGAAACGGGGTTTCACCATGTTGACCAGGATGGTCTCGATCTCTTGACCTTGTGATCCACCCGCCTCGGCCTCCCAAAGTGCTGGGATTACAGGTGTGAGCCACTGCGCCCGGCCATATTTACTATACTTTTAAAAAAAATTATTTATTGAGCCGGGTGTGGTGGCTCACGGCTGTAATCCCAGCACTTTGGGAGGCCGAGGCGGGTGGACAAATCATACTTTTTACTGTTGTTGCAGAATGTACTCATTCTACTTATATAAAACAAGTTTATTTTGGCTGGGCACCATGGCTCACACCTGTAATCCCAGTGCTTTGGGAGGCTGAGGCAGGAGGGCTGCTTGAGCCCAGGAGCTCAAGGCTGCAGTAAGCTAGGATAAAACCACTGTTCTCGAGGCCGGGAGCAGTGGCTCACACCTGTAATCCCAGCACTTTGGGAGGCTGAGGTGGGCAGATCACAAGGTCAGGAGTTCAAGACCAGCCTGACCAACATGGTGAAACCCTGTCTCTAAAAAAAAAAAAAAAAAAAAATTAAAAAGAACCACTGTTTTCCAGACTGGGTGACACAGCAAGACCCTGTTCTAAAAAGAGAAAAAAAATCCCACTTGAGAAAGAAAATGCAGATTAAAAATAATAATAATTAACAAAAAAGATTCAAAAAGTTCATTTAAAAACAGTATGTCATGTTACATTGACAGCAGCTTTATATATCTCATACTTGCCATGTCTTTTTTTTTGACAGGGTCTTGCTCTGTTGTCCAGTCTGGAGTACTGTGGTGCAATCTCTACTCACTGCAACCTCCGTCTCCTGGGTTCAAATGATTCTTTTGCCTTAGCCTCCTGAGGGGCTGGGACTACAGGTGCACACCATGACACCCAGCTAATTTCTGTATTTTTAGTAGAGACGGGGTTTCACCATGTTGGCCAGGCTGGTCTTGAACTCCTGATCTCAGGTGATCCACCTGCCTCAGTCTCCCAAAGTGCTGAGATCACAGGCATGAGCCACCCTACTCAGCCTACCATGCCTTGATTGCATTATTTTCTCTTGTGCTTGATTTATTATCATGTTTTGTTCATCATGGTTTCTAAGTGTACAAAATTCCTGAATAATGTTGCCAGTAATAGGCCGTGTGGAGTATTTGTATAGTAGGTTATGCCATCTAGGTTTGTGTATGTACACTCTATGAAGTGGGCACAATAATGAAATCACCTAATAACCACGTTTCTCAGAATGAGTTTTCCATCATTATGTGATACATAACATAAACCAACACATTAAAAACTAACCACTCAAGTGTCTGCTGAATTCCTTCCCTGCAGCCATCCTGTGCTGGGACAATGCAGGCTGGATCCAGAGAAAGGTGGCAGGCTCTTACCTGGCTCTGGGGGCTCCTTGCTCACATGCTCAGCTTCCATGGTCCCAATGCCCCCACTAAACATGATGGGCTTGATCCACTCACGCCGCTGGCCGTCTGGGAGCTGGAGGCCCAAGGAGCGGGCGAAGCCTGGAGTGTGAACATCAGAGGGAGCCAGAGAGTCACTCAGTCCCCACAGTGGTTGCCCAATACCACAGCCCCTGGGTCACACACCCCACCCATAAGCTCCTCTGGGTATCATTATCCCTCCACACCCTGAGCCTCACCAGCCAGCACTGGTTCCCCAAACTTGTTGCCATAGTCAGAAGCTCCATTACTGGCTTCAATGGCAATCTCCAGGGGCCGGGCAAAGTTCCCAGGATACTGGAAGCTTGGATCCTCCCAGGGCAGATTGTAACCTGGGAGAGAAGGAGAGAGAACTGGATGAACTGAATGAACTGTGAAGACAGAGGATGGAGCAGCCGCATCCTTCAGGAAGAGTCAGGGCCACCAAGAACCACCTGCATGGTTGGAAGGTTCCATTTTAGGAAGTCCCGTTTTAGGAAGCCATAGAGCCTGCAGTGAAGCACTGGTCTTGCTCTCCCCCACCCACACCAGCCTTCCCTCTGAATCTCAGGATCAGAGTTTCTCAGGCTTTCTAAGAAACCAGATTTGAGGTGCAGGTGGCGATTATAAGACCAACCCAATATCATGCTTTCTGGCTAAATGATTGCTAGTTTCCTTTTTCTTTTCTTTCTTTTTCTAAGATGGAGTCTCACTCTATTGCCCAGGCCGGAGTGCAATGGTGCAATCTTAGCTCACTGCAGCCGCAACCTCCCAGATTCAACTGATTCTCCTGCCTCAACCTCCCAAATAGCTGGGATTATGCTGAGTGGCTGGGATTACAGGTGTGCACCACCATGCCCAGCTAATTTTTATATTTTTAGTAGAGATGGGGTTTCACCATGTTGGCCAGGTTGGTCTTGAGCTCCTGACCTCGTGATCTGCCTGCCTCAGCATTCCAAAGTGCTGGGTTTACAGGTGTGAGCCACTGCGCCTGGCCATGAGTGCTAGTTTCTAAGGAAAATCGTAGACCTGCAAAGCTAGTCTGGTCAGCTCATCTCCCCAGGTCTATACTTATGACTACAGTTGAAAGGCCAGCTATCCTACAGCCCTCCCTCCCAAGAAAAGGCACCCAGGGTGATCCTATGACCTAACAGATAAAAGTTTGGTGCCTGCCAGGACAAGGAATCTGGAAGGGAAGGTAGGTAGAGAGGAAAGAGATGGAACCTGGGATATGGAGATTTCCAAAGCAATAGCCGGCAGTGCCAGCCACCACATGGGCCCCACGGCCTGTACACTGGACATCTCGAATCCGGCCCCCTGTGCCAGTGGTTGCACCACTAAAGGGGCATATTCCTGCAAAGAGAGAGTGGGGAGAGGTCTGGGTGCCTCAGAGACAAACCCCATCTCTGACCACCTCCACTGAAAATAAGGACAACTAGCTTCCCTGATTATTCTCCCCAGACCGAAGGGGCCTGGGACCTTTTTCCTACCCTATTCTGTGATCCCACCTATTTCTCCAGGGAACCCAGCTCACCTGTGGGAAAGTTGTGAGTCTCTGCTGTGAAGACAACATGTCTCAGCCCCTGCTGTTGCCGGAAGCGGCTTGGCTGTATGGGGTCCTCAGGCCGTAGAAATCGGACTTGCTTTCCCTGGATTGCACTGTGGACATATCCGTCCTGGACCCTGCTTCCTTTCTGGGACCTGCATTAACCCAACCAGGGCCTGGGGCCTCCCCTCCCTGGGTCCTGTGCCGCCCCAGTCTAGGGCACAGCCCACCTGCTGTTGTCACAGAATTTGAGGATATTGTTGGGGTTCGAGGATGCCTGGGTGCTCATGATGGACTCAAACAGGGAGTGCACCAGCTTCTGCCCATCCACGTGGAGCTGGCCCTTGAAGAACCAGTGTCGGCTATGCTCACTGCAGGAGGTGATGCAGGGAGGGGAAGGCAGGATGGAAATGGGGTCATTTCTTAATGCTATGTCTTCTCAGCAGCATTAACAGCAGAGCCAAATTCATACTTAAATAATCGATCAAAATATATTCCAAAAAGCCATGATCTTCAAGTATTCTGTCATTTTGGATTGTACAGAGCCAAAGTGAAGACAAAACCAAGATTTGAATTTAGACTGCTTGACGGATGAGGGGAGCCCATGCCCTCAGAGAATCAGGGAGGTCCCTAAGCCAAGGAGAGCCATGAAGGCAAATCCCTGTGGTCCCTTCCAACATCCATGGGCTCAGATATCAGAACAATCCCATTCCGCCCCACCTATTGGACTGCGCCAAGTCAAAGGCCTCCACAGTGCTCGGGTTCCGCTGTAGCTCCTGGAAGCGCCTGGTGTAGAAGTCTAGGTCCCAAGAGTCTAAAGCCAGACCTAGGAGATGAATCCATGAAGAGGTGACTGTGGAAGTCAGGCAGCCACATTCCAGATCTCTGCACCCCTCCTGTCCTGGCCTATCCTGGGCCCTACACTTCCCTCTCCAACTACTCACCTAGCTCCTGGTTGGCCTTCTCCAGTGCAAGCCGGCCTTCACCCAGTATATTGATAGGGCCATTGAGAGGTGCTGGGATGCTCTCAGGGGAGAAACTCTGGATGGGATGGGGGAAGTGCTGCTCTGTCATCCGGTCATGTAGGGTAGCCAGAGCAATCGCTTCCATCTCAGCCGAAGTGGGGTGGGCAAACTAGGGGTGCAGACACACAAAGGGCAAAGGGTGAAGACTTTAAGAATGGAGAGAAATGGGTCAGGTACAGTGGCTCATGCCTATAATCCTAGCACTTTGGGAGGCCGAGGTGGGCAAATGATTTGAGGTCAGGAGTTCAAAACCAACCTGGCCAACATGGTGAAATCTCATTTCTAAAAAAAATTAAAAATAAATGGAGAGAAATGGTCCACTCTCCTACCCTCCTATCCTCTCAGTCATGCAAGGCCAGGCCACTGCCACCCCATATGGCACTTCTGTTCAGATTACAAAAAGACACCCTTTCCACGTATGAATCCATGCCAGGTAAGAGAAGCATAGGCTGGATTTCTGCCCCATTTACCCTCAACCAGGTACCTTCAGGCAGTGAACAACTTGCACAACCACACAAAGCAGGCCTAAAGCCAGGAGCACCTTTCCCTGCTTCACTCTAGAGCTTTGGATCTAATCTTATATCTCTGGCCCATCTCCTCCTCCTGATTCTCCATCTCCTCACCGAGAGCCGATAGCGCCGGGTGGTCTCCACACGATCCACAGGCCCCAGCCCAGCGGCGTGGCACACTGACACGATGTTGGTAGATGTTGGGGTGGAGAAGTTCAGCCTGAGCAATGGGCCTGATGGTTAGGACTGGAGAGCCCCTGGCAGGCCTCAGCTGGGAGGGTGGATCCTGCCCACTGCTGTCCGGACAACCTCTCACCACTATCACCTCACCATTGGCTTTCAGCCTCAGGCTGGGCAAAAGAAACCTGCTTTCAAAGTTCACTCAAGCCAAACCATAACTGTCCTCTAGCATCAAAACTGTTTGAATTTAACTTGGAATACAATTTATTTTGTTTCAAGAACATGTTTTGGAGGAGGCTAGGTTTTCAGCGGCATCTACCCAAATGGGGAAAGCACCTGCATGATTTCCGAGGCAGAGAGTAGCAAAGAGCAAAGGAAAACAAATCTCCCAAGGATCACAAGAGGAAGCAGAGGAAGGCAGGAGAAAGGGGTGGGCAGGATAAGATACTTACCTGGGCCCGACCTCCAGCAGCAGGTCATTGGAGCCAGGAAGGAGCCAGGACTGCCGAGCAACATCATCCAGCAACAAGGGGCAACCAAACAGCCACATCAGCTTCTTTGTCTCCTCAGCACTGGGGAGGGCCTCAGCTGCAGGGAGACAGGGCAAGCACACCTGAGACACTGCCCCCGGCACTGAGGCATGTCCCACAAGAGTCCAATACGTGCGCCCAACCTGTCCAGTTCACATTGTAGCACAGTTCAGTCTCAATGCCCTGCAGCTCTGGCAGTTTCCCTTGCAGTTTCCGTCGAGTGTGTCCAGAGGCTGCCCCTTCAGGTCCAGAGGGACGGACATAGAAGTGAAGGACTGGGGACATCTCTGCAGGTGTCCTTTGCTGGAGATGTGTCCTTTGCTGGAGATATGAGTTAGGTTCCTAAAAAATAACATTAACTATGGCCTGTTGAACTGATTTCAAATTTCAAGGAAAGTTGAGGCATTAGGGACAGGGTAGAAAAAAGTAGTAGGGACATTTAGAGAAACAAGGTAAGGCAGGTGTGGTGGCTGTTGCCTATAACCTCAGCACTTTGGGAGGCTGAGGCAGGCAAATCATGAGGTCAAGAGATCAAGACCATGTTGGCCAATATGGTGAAACCCCAGTCTCTACTAAAAAGACAAAAAAATTAGCTGGGTGTGGTGGCAGGTACCTGAAGTCCCAGCTACTTGGAGGCTGAGGCAGGAGAATTGCTTGAATTCAGGAGGCGAAGGTTGCAGTGAGCCAAGGTCGCACCACTGCACTCCAGCCTGGCAACAGAGAGAGAGACTCCATCTCAAAAAAAAACGGGCGGGGGGTTGAGTGCGGTGGCTCATGCCTGTAATCCCAGCGCTTTGGGAGGCTGAGGCAGACAGAGTTCAAGACCAGCCTGACCAACATGGAGAAACCCTGTCTCTACAAAAAATTTAAAAAATTAGCCAGACATAGTGGCGGGCACCTGTAATCCCAGCTACTCAGGAGGCTAAACCAGGAGAATGGCTTGAACCTGGCAGGCAGAGGTTACAGTGAGCTGAGATCGCACCATCGCACTCTAGCCTGGGCAACAAGAGCAAAACTCTGTCTAAAAATAAAAAAAGAATTTATTTATTCATTTACTTTTTTTTTTTTTTGAGACAGAGTCACTTTGTCACCCAGGCTGGAGTACAGTGGCATGATCTCAGCTCACTGCAACTTCTGTCTCCTCGTTCAAGCAATTCTCTTGCCTTAGCCTCCTGAGTAGCTGGGATTACAGGCATGTGCCACCATGCTAATTTTTTTTTTTTTTTTTTGAGACGGAGTTTCACTCTTGTTACCCAGGCTGGAGTGCAACATGCGCGATCTCGGCTCACCGCAACCTCTGCCTCCTGGGTTCGGGCAATTCTCCTGCCTCAGCCTCCCGAGTAGCTGGGATTACAGGCACGTGCCACCAGCTAATTTTTGGTATTTTTTTAGTAGAGATGGGGTTTCACTATGTTGACCAGGATGATCTCAATCTCTTGACCTCGTGATCCACCTGCCTCGGCCTCCCAAAGTGCTGGGATTACAGGCTTGAGCCACTGCGCCTGGCCTAGTTTTTATATTATTAGTAGAGACAGGGTTTCACCATGTTTGCCAGGCTGGTCTTGAACTCCTGACCTCAAGTGATCCACCCACCTGGGCCTCCCAAAGTGCTAGGATTATAAGAGTGAGCCACCACACCGACCCATAAATGATTTTAAAAAGAAAAAAAAAAGAATTGCTTAAGCACGGCCAGCAAGGTGGCTCATGTCTGTAATCCCAGCACTTTGAGAGGCTGAGGTGGGCGGATCACTTGAGGTGAGGAGTTCAAGACCAGCCTGGCCAACATGGCAAAATCCCATCTCTATTAAAAACACAGGCCAGGGTTTCTGCCAGAGCTGCCATTGGAGAGCAGCAGCCATGGCTCTTCGCTACCCTATAGCCATGGGACTCAACAAAGGCCGCAAGGTGACTAAGAACATGAGCAAGCCCAGGCACAGCCGCTGCAGGTGTCTGAGCAAACATACCCAGTTTGTGTGGGACAAGATCTGGGAGGTGTGAGGCTTCCCCCCTTACAAGCAGTGTGCCACTGAGTTATTGCAGGTTTCCAAGGACAAACGGGCCCTCAAGTTCATCAAGAAAAGGGTAGGGATGCACATCTGCACCAAGAGGAAGCAGCAGGAGCTGAGCAACATTCTGGCCACCATGAGGAAAGCTGCTACCAAGAAAGACTGAGCCCCCTCCCCCACCTTCTCCCTGAAATAAAAAAAAAAAAATACAGGCCAGGCACAGTGGCTCATGGCTGTAATCACAGCACTTTGGGAGGCCAAGGCTGGTAGATCACAAGGTCAAAAGATTGAGACCATCCTGGCCAACATGGTGAAACCCTATCTCTACTAAAAATATAAAAATTAATCAGGCTTGGTGGTGGGCGCCTGTAGACCCAGCTACTCGGGAGGCTGAGGCAGAAGAATTGCTTGAACCCTTGAGGCAGAGGTTGCAGTGAGCCAAGATCATGCCACTGCACTCCAGTCTGGCGACAGAGGGAGACTTTGTCTCCAAAAAAAAAAAAAAAAAAAAATTGCTTAAGCAGATCCTGAATTCCAGAACAGCTGACTTCACTCAGTTCAAAGACTCCCACAGAAACCAGGTGCAGTGGCTCACACCTATAATCCCAGCACTTTGGGAGGCCAAGGCAGTGGACTGCTTGAGTCTAGGAGTTTGAGACCAGCCCTGGGCAACGTGGTCAGACCCTGTCTTCATAAAAATTTAAAAATTAGCTGGGCGCAGTGGCGTGTACCTGTGGTCCCAGCTACTTGGGAGGCTGAGGTGGGAGGATCACTTAAGCCCAGGAGTTCTGGACTATAGTGCGCTATGCTGATCGGGTGTCCGCACTAAGTCATCAATATGGTGACCTCCCAGGTTGCCTAAGGAGGGGTGAACCGGCCCAGGTCGGAAACAGAGCAGGTCAAAACTCCCATGCTGATCAGTAGTGGGATTGCGCCTGTGAATAACCACTGCACTCCAGCCTGGGTAACATAGCAAGACTCTGTCTCTTAAAAAAAAAAAGGCAGGTCACGAGGTCAGGAGATCAAGACCACCCTGGCTAACGTGGTGAAACCCCACCTCTACTAAAAATACAAAAAATTAGCCAGGCATGGTGGCATGCTTCTGTAGTCCCAGCTACTCAGGAGGCTGAGGTGGGAGAATCGCTTGAACATGGGAGGCAGAGGTTACAGTGAGCCAAGATCGTGCCACTGCATTCCAGCCTGGGCGTCAGATAGAGACTCTGTCTCAAAAAAAATTTTTTTTAATTAGCCGGTGCGGTGGCGTGTACCTGTGGTGCCAGCTACTCAAGAGACTTGAGCCCATGAGTTTGAGGCTGCAGTGAGCTATGACTGTGCCACTGCACTCCCACCTGGGCAACAGAGCAAAACCTCCATCTCTCAAAGTAAAATAAAATAAAATAGACTCCCATAGTGGAACCAAGTGAGCATGAGAATCAGTTTCTTCATCTCCCTGTTTCATGACTTCATCCTGCACTCTTCAATCAATGATTTTTCACACTTCACCCCAATCCTACTCCAAACCCTTAAAAACCGTAGCCCCAGAGTACTCTGGGAGATGGATTTGAGGTTTCCTGCTGCCCTATGATTAAACTCTTTCTCTGCTGCAACCTGGTGTCTTGGCGTATTGACTTCCAGTATGCAGCAGCCAACAGACCTATTACTTATACCTTTGGCCTAACATACAAAGGCCCTCCACATCTATCCCAAACTACCTATCCAATTTCTAGTCCCACTGTCTCTCAGCAGGACCCTGGCTTTACCCACCAAACCCTGCTGTTCCCCTAGTCTTGCCATCTCAGTAAACACTACCATCATCCAATTTGTTGCTCAAGACAAAAACAACCTTAATTCTTCTTTCCCTCAGACTCTCTAAATCCAATCCACCAGGTAATCTATATCCAAACATATCTCAAATCTCTCGTCTCTTCATCTCTACTACCTCACTCTAGTTCAAGTAAGCCACCACCATCACTCACCTGGACCAATGCATTAACCTCTTGACCATTGCATAATCACAATTCATTTATCACATATCAGCATAAAGTGGATTATGGCTTCCCATTACACATGGTATAAATTCCAACTCAGCATCCTGGTTTACCAAGTCTGTCCACTCTCTGGCCTGCCTCTCCAACCCTATCTCACGCCACGCTTTTTCACCCACAATACACCAACCACATTAGCTTCTTTCCTATTTCTCTAACTTGCCAAGCTCAGTCCTGGAAGGCATATTTTTACCCTGACATATGCATGGCTGGCTCTTTCTTGTTATTTAGATTTCTGGTGATTCACCTTTCTGGAAAGGGATTCATTAGCCACTCAAGTAGTTAGTATCAGATGACTCTATTTTAATTTCCTATATAGCACTTATCACAATTGGATATTTTTATTTTTCACTCTATATTCCCCACTAGAAAAAAATCTCTACGTGGGCATGGGCTGTTGCTGCTTCATTTCCATTGAATTACCAAGGCTTAGAACAATACCAGGGCTTGAAACGGAAAAAAATTCTAAAACTTGTGGACTTCGCTGGCACAGTGGCTCACACCTGTAATCCAACACTTTGGGAGGCTGAGGCAGGTGAATCACGAGATCAGAAGTTCCAGACCAGCCTGACCAACATGGTGAAACCACGTCTCTACTAAGAATACAAAAATTAGCTGGGCATGGTGGCACGCGCCTGTAATCCCAGCTACTCAGGAGGCTGAGGCAGAAGAATCCCTTGAACCCGGGAGGCGGAGGTGACAGTGAGCCGAGATCGCCCCACTACACTCCAGCCTGGGTGACAGAGTGACACTCTATCTCAAAGAAAAACTTGTGGACTGATCAAATGAACTCGATTCTCACCACTCTTCAGGTCCCCCACACACACTTTCAGGACAGTCTTCCTGAAGCATTATTAAGCCACTTGATTTCCGTCCATCATTCCCAGTGAAATTTAAGTTTCAAGAGCTCAGGACTAGGTTTGCTTGCATGAGGGCTGTATCCCCAAAGACCAGCATGGTGCCTGATATAAACTAGGAGGCCGGCAGACTTTCTGTTAGTTGAATCCGTGAATGGGACAACGCGGCTAAGTTTACATGGGGGTCAGCCATGCCCGGGGTCTGCTGAACGCACGCTAGATAGAACGAATGGACGTCTCCATTAAAGCAAATGTGCGGGCCCCAAGTGAACACTGCTCGGCCTGGTGGGAATACTGAAGCAGCCAGACGAGGCTTGGGCTGGATGACGAAACGCTGCACCTGAAGGAGGCTCCAGGTCCGCACGCGGCAACTATACTCACGTGGAAGATGCACTCGCCGCCGCAGATCACCTCGAATCGTCGCGCGCGCTCGTTACGTCATCTGCGTGCGCCGTGGGCAGAGACTGGACCTGCCAGTGCCGGGGCGACTACGCCCCGCCCACATTTCCCCGCGGCTACGCAGAGTTCTAAACTTGGTGAGAAGATTATCCCCAGGTGGTTTCTCCCACAAGTCTGTCTGGAATTGATGTTTGTGAAAATACATTGAGTTCCCAGTCCCCGCGGGAACAGTTAAATAATGACATCAGTGAGTTAAGGCCATAATACAAGCGTGTGAAAGTTGTGCTTCGGCGGCATTACGAGGAAGCGCTTCTCTGATTGGCAAGATCAGGAAGACGGAAAGATGCTTAGAAGTCATCTACTAGGCGGGCTGTGTTTGAGTTCCTGGGCTCTCCCACCCCGTCCCATGTGAAGGCCTACGGGATGGGTGACTGAGATCGGTGACCTAGGCCCGGCGCGGCGGCTCCCGTCTGTAATCCGAGGACTCTGAGAGGCCGAGGCGGGCGGATCACTTGAGCCCAGGAGTTCGAGACCAGTCCGGGCAACATGGCGAAACCCCGTCTCTACAGAAAAATACAAAAATTAGCCGAGTGTGGTTGTGCACGCCTGTGATCCCAGCTACTCGGTGGGCTGAGGTGGGAGGATCGCTTGAGCCCGGGAGGTCGAGGCTGCAGTGAACCGAGATGGCGCCACTGCACTCCAGCCTGGGCGACAAGAGCGAGACCCAGTCTCAAAAAAATCAGAGAGGGCCGGGCGCCGTGGCTCACGCCTGTAATTTCAGCACTTTGGGAGGCCAAGGAGGGGGTGATCATTTGAGGTCAGGGTTCGAGACCAGCCTGACCAACACGATGAAACCCCGTCTCTATTAAAAGTACAAAAAATGGACCGGGCGCGGTGGCTCACGCCTGTAATCCCAGCACTTTGGGAAGCTGAGGCGGGTGGATCTCGAGGTCAAGAGATCGAGGCCATCCTTCCTGGTCAATATGGTGAAACCCCATCTCTACTAAAAATACAAAAAAAATTAGCTGGGCATGGTGGCGCGTGCCTGTAATCCCAGCTACTCAGGAGGCTGAGGCAGGAGAATTGTCTGAACCCAGGAGGCGGAGGTTGCGGTGAGCCGAGATTGCGCCATTGCACTCCAGCCTGGGTAACAAGAGCGAAACTCCGTCTCAAAAAAAAAAAAAAGTACAAAAAATTAGCCGGGCGCCTGTAATCCCAGCTACTCGGGAGGCTGAGGCAGGAGAATCGCTTGAACCCGGGAGGCGGAGGTTGCGGTGAGCAGTGATCGTGTCACTGCACTCCAGCCTAGGCGACAAAGCCAGAGTTCGTCTCAAAAAAAAAAAAATCAGAGAAAGGAGATAGGGGTGTCAAGAGTTGGGATGGTTGCACCGAGGCGCCGCGCTGAGTCTCCAGGATGCTAAAGGGTGAACAGCAGGAAGGAGTTGGAGGCGGGGAGGAGACCCGCCCACCGGTGACGCCACCAAGCGTCCTCCGCCCCCGCGAGCACCCTCACCTTCCGGGGGCGGAGCTTCGGCGCATCATGGCGGCTGGCCGGGTTCAGGCCCCTTCCACTGTGAGTGCTATTCCGTCTCTTGTACCTTTTTTGTTTGTCACAGATTTTTCTCTCTCTTCCTCTTAACTCTGCCTTGTCTCTGTGGGCTCTCTGGCCGCGCCCGCCCATGGGTGAGGGAGTTGTGAGTCGGTCCAATCCTACCTCTTACTGGTTCTGCGAATGTTTTTATTCCCTCATTTCACGCGACACCCACTGCGAGCCTTAAACTGGTCTCCGTTCACTCTCTAGGATTTAAGCCCGGTGGAAAACCAGGAACAGGTTAATGGGGGAACTAGGGTCTGTGGGTTCCGGGAGAAGACCCTTGACGGAGCTGTTGGGGAAAAGGGCAACTGTAATAAGGAAAAACGTCTGAGACCCGAAGTGCGCGTAGTAGGCAAAAAAGCGCCGAAAGGGGTTCCACGACGGAGGCAGTCACGAGTTCTAAGGCAGGAGGATAGAACAGGTGTCTGAAAAACTCAAGAAGTTCAGTTAGGTGGTGGTGGAAGGGTCAGAGCTGACAGTCTTTTACCTCTTGCTGAGCAGCGACTTTAACTTGAGCGTAGAGAGTGGTCGGATGAAGTAAGGGGATTTGGTTTCCTAAGGTGGCAGTAAGGAGAGTGGACTAGAGAGAACCGTTAGACGGCTGTGGTTGAAATGCAGTGAGAGAGGATGGTGACCTGGACCACTGCAGCAATGTTGAGTTTCCAGAAGTGATGATAAGGAAAAAAAAAAAAAAGACAGATGTTGGCTGGGCCCGGTGGCTCACGTCTGTAATCCCAGCACTTTTCGAGTCGCAGGTGAGCCTATCACCAGAGGTCAGAAGTTTGAGACCAGCCTGGCCCCAACATGGTAAGATGCCATCTCTACTAAAAATACAAAAATTAACCAGGCGTGGTTCGGGACGCTGCACTCCAGCCTGGGCGACAGAGCCGACTCCGTCTGAAAAAAGAAAAGAAAAGAAAAAGATGTTAAGAAAATACAATCATACAATCTAAAGGACTGGGTCTTAGGTAGGGAAAGGAAGAAGTTAAGGAGGACATCTAGGTTTCAGGATGAACAACTATTTGGTTAAGGGTACTATTTGCTAAGCTAATGAACATAACACTAGAAGGGTTCTAGAAAAGGAGATAGTTTTGTGAAAAATTCAGCATTGGGCATGTGTGCTGCCACATGGTTGGTCGTGGATAGGCTGACAGATGGATAGGAGTAAAGCTCAGGAAAGATCTCAGCTAAAGGTGTACAGAGAGAATCATCATCTGGCCATGGCTGTTAAACCCATGCAGTGGGTTTTTTTACTCAGTAGATGAAAACATGAATTTGCCTTTTTAACAAAACTTAGGTAATTTCACCTTGAGGCCATGGGATCACTTTGAGAGACAGTAGTATTTAGTGCACCAAGCAAAGGATAGGCCATCAGAGAAATAGGAGCTACAGAAGAATCCTGGGAGAGGAAGACAAAAAGTGTGACAGTTGGAGTTTTGATTATGCTGGTGGAGCAACTCTGAATGGTGATTTGGTCCAGTTTCCACAACTCTGACCATGAATGAGTTTTTGGCTGAGGCGGGCTGAAGGTCAGTGGTAGGGCTGTCCATAAGGATGCTGAAGACGTCCGGGACTTGAAGACTGGATTTTTTTTCTTTTAACTTTTATTTTAAATTCAGGGGTAGATGCGCAGGTTTATTATGTAGGTAACCTCATGTCATGGGGGTTTGATATAGAGATTATTTCATCACCCCTGTACTAAGCATAGTATTTGATCGGTATTTTTTGGGATCTTCTCCCTCTTCCCACTTTCAAGTAGGCCCCAGTGTCTGTTGTTTCTCTCTTTGTGTTCATGTGTTCCTGTTATTTAGCTCCCACTTATAAGTGGGAACAAACGTGCAGTATTTGGTTTTCTGTTCTTGGGTTAGTCTGTTAAGGATAGTGAGCTCCAGCTCCATCCACGTTGTAGCAGAGGACATGATCTCATTCTTTTCTATGGCTGCATAGTATTCCATGGTGTGTATACCACATTTTCTTTATCCAGTCTACTATTGTTGGGCATTTAGGTTGATTCCATGGAAGACTGTCTTTTCGAGCTCTTTTCAAGCTCCTTAAGATTAGAAGAATGTGAAAGATAGGCTGGGTGCGATGGCTCATGCCTGTTATCCTAGCACTTTGGGAGGCCGAAGAGGGTGGATCACTTGAGCTCAGGAGTTCGAAACCAGCCTGGCCAACACTGTGAAACCTCATCTCAACTAGAATTACAAAAAATTAGCTGGGCGTGGTAATCTCAGCTACTTGGGAGGCTGAGACAGGAGAATCACTTGAACCTGGGAGGCAGAGGTTGCAGCGAGCCGAGATCACACCATTGCCTAGGCGAGAGTCCATCTCAAAAAAAAAAAAAAAAAAAAAAAGAATATGAGATTGACCGGAATGTTAGTACATGAGCCTTGGAAGTCCAGGGAAGGAGCTGTAATGTCTTAGAAGTAGCATTGAGGAAAGATAAAGGCCCTATTGCTAAGTGTATTAAAGCTGCCTAGCACTAGCCGAGCGCAGTGGCTCACGCCAGTAATCCCAACACTTTGGGAGCCTGAGGCAGGCAAATCACCTGAGGTCAGGGGTTCAAGACCAGCCTGGCCAACATGGAGAAACCCCCGTCTCTACTAAAAATACAAAAATAGCTGGGTGTGGTGGCAGGTGCCTGTGATCCTAGCTACTTGGGAGACTGAGGCAGGAGAATCGCTTGAACCCGGGAGGTGGAGATCACGCTATTGAACTCCAGCCTGGGCAAAAAGAGCAAAACTCCATCTCAAAAAAAAAAAAAGAGAAAAAAGCTGCCTAGCACTGGGAGTAGGCCAAACTGGTCCTTTTCCGTAAAGTTATCTACATATAATGGCAACTATGTGTCCAGAATCTGTGTCAGATATACAAAGATAGTCCATATCCTCTTCAGGGAGCCCACATCTTAGCTGAAAAGCAACAGGAAACTTGAATCTTGTATATATTTAGCTTGTGGGAAATGCATATATTTGAATAAAAAAAGGAAATGATTAAAAATTATAATTCGCCTACATCCTTTTTATGTACTGTCCACCATTAGACACTTACACAGTACAGCACTATGTCCTATTCATTTTTGGTTTTGCGGTTTTTTTTTTGAATTGGAGTTTTGCTTTTGTTGGCCAGGCTGGAGTGCAATGGCATGATCTTGGCTCACTGCAACCTCCGCCTCCTGGGTTCAAGCAATTCTCTTGCCTCAGCCTCCTGAGTAGCTGGGATTATAGGCATAAGCCACCACACCTGGCTAATTTTTTTTTTTTTTAAGACGGAGTTTCGCTCTTATTACCCAAGCTGGAGTGCAATGGCGCGATCTCGGCTCACCGCAACCTCCGCCTCCTGGGTTCAGGCAATTCTCCTGCCTCAGCCTCCTGAGTAGCTGGGATTACAGGCACGCGCCACCATGCCCAGATAATTTTTTTGTATTTTTAGCAGAGACGGGGTTTCACCATGTTGACCAGGATGGTCTCGATCTCTTGACCTCGTGATCCACCCGCCTCAGCCTCCAAAAGTGCTGGGATTACAGGCTTGAGCCACCGCGCCCGGCAATTTTTTATATTTTTAATAGAAACAAGGTTTCACCATGTTAGCTGGACTGGTCTCAAACTCCTGACCCCAGATGATCCCACCTGCGTCGACCTCCCAAAGTGCTGAGATTATAGGTGTGAGCCACTGCACCTGGCCCAATTTTTTTTGAGACGGTGTTTCACTCTGTCACTCAGGCCAGAATACAGTGTCGCCATCTGGGTTCACTGAAGTTTCAGCCACCCCAGAATCGGGTGATCCTCCCACCTCAGCCTCCCTAGCAGCTGGAACCACAGGCATGTGCCACCACACCTGGCTTTTTTTTTTTTTTTTTGAGACGGAGTTTCGCTCTTGTTACCCAGGCTAGAGTGCAATCTCGGCTCACCACAACCTCCGGCTCCTGGGTTCAGGCAGTTCTCCTGCCTCAGCCTCCCGAGTAGCTGGGACTACAGGTGCGTGCCACCATGCCCAGCTAATTTTTGTATTTTTAGTAGAGATGGGATTTCACCTTGTTGACCAGGATGGTCTTGATCTCTTGACCTCGTGATCCACCCGCCTCGGCCTCCCAAAGTGCTGGGATTATAGGTGTGAGCCACCGCGTCCGGCCTACACCTGGCTTTTTGTATTTTTGTAGAGACATGATTTTGCCATGTTGCCCAGGCTGGTCTTAAAACTCCTGGACTCAAGCAATCCACCTGCCTTGGCCTCCCAAAGTGCTGGGATTATAAGCATGAGCTGCTGCACCCTGCCTGTTCTATTCTTCATGAGCAATTTAAAGGATTTTTCAACAATGTTTTTGTCCATTCTTGCTTTTGACCATACTGACATTAGAACCAGACTCCATGTAAGATGGGACACCACTAAACACGGTGCTCATTGCTCTTAATAGAGTTATGTGCAAGTTCCTGTGGGAGCTTCAAGGAAAGAGCAGCATTCAGCCTGGGATGATCAGAGAAGAGTCTCCAGAACATACATTCCAGTTAAGCACTTTAAGAATGAGTACAAATTTGTTAGAGAAAGGGGCAAGACCAAAGCTGGATGGCCAGCTGTCTACAGTATGGCTGGACTAAGACTTTTAAGGTTTTTCGTCAAGTCCTAAACTCCTTTACGTTTGATCTTCATTTTGTGTGTACTCTGGATTTTTTTTTCTTTTTCTTTTTTTTTTTTTCTCCTACCATAAATGAAGTGTACTTTCAATTTTTTTTTTTTTTTTTTTTTTTGAGATGGAGTTTTGCTCTTGTTGCCCATGCTGGAGTGCAATGGCATGATCTCAGCTCACTGCAACCTCCACTTCCTAGGTTTAAGTGATTCTACTGCCTTGGCCTCCCAAGTAGCTGGGATTACAGGTGTGCACCACCACGCCTAGCTAATTTTATATTTTTAATAGAGACGGGTTTTCACCATGTTGGTCAGGCTGGTCTCAGACTCCCTATCTCAGGTGATCCGCCTGCCTCAACCTCTTCAAGTGCCGGGATTACACGCATGAGCCACCACGTTGGCCTGGATTTTTTGTTTTTGTTTTTGTTTTGTAGTCCTTTATTCTTCCCGGGTTTCCTTGGTAGGCAGGATAGTCAGGATATTTTAACTAAATTCACTTTCCTCAGGAACAAGCTTGGCTTGAGGATGCTCAGGTCTTCATTCAAAAGACCCTGTGTCCAGCTGTCAAGGAGCCTAATGTCCAGTTGACTCCATTGGTAATTGATTGTGTGAAGACTGTCTGGTTGTCCCAGGGAAGGAACCAAGGTTCTACACTGCCCCTCAGCTACAGGTAAGGAGAGGTGGTGGTTGCAGGGGCTGGGTGGGGGCGGGTATTGAATTCAGGATTGAAACGTAGGTCATATAGTTAGAAAAAGGACAAGTTGAGGCTGGGTGTGGTGGCTCACACCTGTAATCCTAGCACTTTGGGAAGCCAAAGCAGGCAGATCCCCTGAGGTTGGGAGTTTGAGACCAGCCTGACCAACATGGAGAAACCCTGTTCTCTACTAAAAATACAAAATCAGCTGAGTATGGTGGTGCATGCCTGTAATCCCAGCTACTCAGGAGTCTGAGGCAGGAGAATCCCTTGAACCCTGGCGGTGGAGTTTGCAGTGAGCCGAGATTGTGTTATTGCACTCCAGCCTGGGCAAGAGCTGAACTCTGTCTCAAAAAAGGAGGAGGAGGAGGAGGAGGAGGAGGAGGCGGAGGCGGTGGCGGCGGAAGAGGCAGGGGGCAAGTGAGAGAGTGAACAGAGGACAAATTAGTCAACTATCCTCTTTTGCAGAGCTTTACTGTTCTAACACAATCAAGCTTTCCTTTTCCTGAAGTTCTTCTGAATTGGCTTAAGATTAAAGAAAAGGAGAGGAACGGGGAAGAGAGAGAGAAAATTTGGAAAAAGAGCCCTCAAAGTGGGGAAAGAGGCTAATATTATATTTGTTTTGTGTATTAGGAAACAAAGATACGGAGGGCTGTATGACTTTACCAAGTGCCAATCATTGTGTTTAAGATGTGTGTTTCAGGGCTTCCAAGTGTGTTTTTCTGTATATATACGTTTTTTACTACACTATCCTTTCCAAAAGTGTTTTAGGCAACGTTAGGAAAGCACCATAAGAAAAGGGGTTCATGGCTAAATGAGAGTGAGGGACACTGAATATAAATAAACTTCTCTGGGAGAGTCATAGGGTTTATTAATGTATTAGAGGCTCTGACAAGTCCCGCAAAAGAAACCTATTTACCTCCTCATAGATACTGTCACTATCTTGGAGATGGGCTATATTATTCCAATAAATATTTTAATATTTTTACTACACATACATCTATTCTTAAGCAATATAATGTAGAGTTATGCATACCTTTAGACTTTAAATAAATGGTACCATACCTTACATACCCTCTGCAGTTTGCCTTTTTTTTTTGATACAGGGTCTCGAAATATCCCCCAGGCTCGAGTGCATTGGTACAAACACTTCTCACAGCCTTTCCCTCCAGGGTTCAAGCATTTCTCCTGCCTCAGCCTCCCACATAGTTAGGACCACAGGTGCATGCCACTGCGCCTAGCTACTTTATTTTATTTTTTTGTAGATACGGGGTATCTCACTTTTTTGCCCACACTGGTATCAAACTCCAAGGCTCAAGCAGTCTTCCTACAGTGGCCTCCCAAGGTGTTGGCATTATAGGCATGAGCCACCGTGCCTCACCTGTTTTTTTTTTTTTTTTTGAGTTAGAGACTCACAAAAGTCTCACTCTGTTGCTCAGGCTGGATTGCAGTGGCATGATCTCGGCTCACTACAACCTCCGCCTCCTGGGTTCAAGCGATTCTCCTGCCTCTTGAGTACCTGGGGTTACAGGCACATGCCACCACACCAGCTAATTTTTGTATTTTTTAGTAGAGACAGGATTTCTCTACTAAAAATCTACTATATTGGCCATGCTACTGGAATTCCTGACCTCAGGTGATCCCCACCTCAGCCTTCCAGAGTGCTGGGATTACAGGTAGGAATCACCGCACCCAGCCCCTGCCTGCTTTTCTTGCGTAACATTATACTTCTTTTTTTTTTTTTGCTTGTGGGTTTTGTTGTTGTTGTTGTTGTTGTTGTTGTTGTTTTTGAGATGGAGTCTCACTCTGTCACCCAGGCTGGAGTACAGTGGCATGATCTTAGCTCACTGCAAACTCTGCCTCCCAGGTTCAAGCAATTCTCCTGCCTCAGCCTTTCAAGAAGCTGAGATTACAGGTGCCTGCCACCACACCTGGCTAATTTTTGTCTTTTTGTATTTTTGTAGGGATGGGGTTTCGCCACATTGGCCAGGCTGGTCTCAAACTCCTGACCCCTGATGATCCACCCGCCTCAGCCTTTCAAAGTGCTGGGATTACAGGTGTGAGCCACTGCATCCAGCCCCCACTCATTTGTTTTAACTGGTCTATGGTATTCTATTATGTGAAAATATATGTCACTCTTTATCATTTTAAAATAAGAAAGGTAGAGATATATTTAGTATAAGATGCTTTTTCCTTGGCACTCCCTTAGCCTGCTTATGACAGTTTGGGAAATACTTCACTCAGCTTGGTTATCTGTGTCAGTCAGTCAGAGCAAGAGATCTTCTTATCCAAAACATTATTTTTATAATTCTGTGTAATTTTCTCATCTGTGGACTTTATCATAAACCAATAGTTCTTAAAATGCTCATCTGCCAGATCGTAAGTCAATACACATCTTTCTTCATTGAGAATGTCTTGCTTGCAAAAAAAGAGTTAGCTGAGCTAAACAATGTGCTTAGCCATGTTCTTATTGCTCAACCATTGAAAACCTTTACATTTTGCTGTATTTGCTTCAGTTCTTTGTTATAAGAAGTATAAATGTGCCTGGGCGTGGTGGTTCACACCTGTAATCCCAGCATGTTGGGAGGCTGAGGCAGGCAGATCACTTGAGGTCAGGAGTTAGAGACCAGCCTGGCCAACATGGTAAAATCCCGTCTCTACTAAAAATATAAAAAATTAGCCGGGCTTGGTGGTTCACACCTGTAGTCCCAGCTACTCAGAAGGCTGAAGCAGGAGAATTGCTTGAACCTGGCAGACAGAGGTTGCAGTGAGCTGAGATCACACCACTGCACTCCAGCCTGGATGACAGAGCGAGACTCCATCTCAAAATTAAAAATTATAGAAATGCAAGCAAGTGAGCATAATGATATTACAAAAAGGCGAATTTATCACAACTTTGATACTTTAACTATTATTTGTATCACATCCAACACCCACCATCTCAGCCTCAGCTTCCCCCCAAGTCTTTAGAATTGTGCTATGCTAGACTAGAAAGGATCTTGGCTGGGGTCATTGTAGGTAGACAGTCAGATGCCTAAGTGGTTCCATTAAGTTCTCTCTGGAGCTAAGAGCTGAGATGTTTTCAAGAGAATTGCCTCTGTTATTTACAAAGTGTTCTCCCCACGCATTCATTTCCTCAGGCTCCTCATGCATTCCTACTTCATTTCTCTGGGTCCCCTCCCTGGCACCATCTTGTTGAAGATACTATTCAGCACAGAATTGGACTCAGATCCCATCCTTATTTTCTTTTTCCTTTTTTTTTTTTTTTTTTTGAGACAGAGTCTGTCTCTCTCTCTGTTGCCCAGCCTGAAGTGCAATGGCATGATCTCGGCTCACTGCAACCTCCATCTCCCAGGTTCAAGCCATTCTCCTGCCTCAGCCTCCCAAGTAGCTGGGATTACAGGCGCATGCCACCATGACTGGCTAATTTTTTTTTTTTTTTGAGGTGGAGTCTCATACTGTTGCCCAGGCTGTAGTGCAGTGGCATGATCTCGGGTCACTGCCATCTCTGCCTCCTGGGTTCAAGCAGTTCTCCTGCCTCAGCCTCACAAGTAGCTGGGACTACAGGCATGCATCACCACGCCCAGCTAATTTTTTGTGTGTTTTTAGTAGAGACAGAGTTTCACCATGTTGGCCAGGATGGTCTCAATCTCCTGACCTCATGATTCACCTGCCTCGGCCTCCCAAAGTGCTGGGATTACAGGCGTGAGCCACTACGCCCAGGCTTAATTTTGTTGTATTTTTAGTAGAGATGGAGTTTTGCCATGTTGGCCAGGCTGGTCTCGAACTCCTGACCTCAGGTGATCCAGCCACCTTGGCCTCCCAAAGTGCTAGGCCACCATGCCTGGCCCCCATCCTTATTTTCTTAGTCCTTTATCCCCAGGTTTTACCCCTTTAATCAACCAGACAAATTCACTTCTTAGTCCATGTACCCCTGCAACCTTTCCTTGGGCTCTTGACGGTTTGTCAGGGTTGAGGGTTACCTCCTAGGCTTGGATCTGGCTTTGTGGGACCTCTGCTCCTTTCCCTCTACAGCTTCGTCTCAGTACAGGACCTCAAGACTCACCAGCGTCTCCCATGCTGCAGCCACCTGTCCTGGAGCAGTAGTGCATACCAGGCCTGGGTCCAAGAGGCTGGACCAAATGGGAACCCCCTCCCCCGAGAACAGCTGTTACTTTTAGGGACACTAACAGACCTATTGGGGGACTTGGAGCAAGAGTACAGGAATGGAAGCCTCTATGTGAGAGATAACACTGGCATCCTGAGCTGTGAGGTAAGTGGAAGGTGGAGGTCAGATGCCTCAGATCCTCACAAGAATGGTGTCCAAGGGCCAAGGCAATTAAGTCTCTGATGAAACAAAGGGGGAGGTGGGTGGATAGTATTCTAGGATCATGGTTAACCTTTGCTCTTCATCTTTTCTAGGTCATAGACCTGGACCTTTCTTGGTTGGGCCATCTTTTTCTGTTCCCTAGTTGGAGTTACCTCCCTCCTGCCAGGTGGAATTCCTCTGAGGAGGGGCATTTGGAGCTGTGGGATGCCCCTGTGCCAGTATTTCCTTTGACCGTCAGTCCTGCCCCCCTCACTCCTATCCCTGTCCTCTACCCAGAGAGTGCTTCCCGCCTGCTCAGCCTCAGGTAATTTCCCCCTCTAGGCGCGGCAGGAGCACTGTGAAATTGGAGGATGATGGTGGGTCAGTGGAGGGAGAGAAAGAAGGGCATTGATAGCAATATAGATGGAATGTTCCAAATCAAGGGAATGGTGGGCTTTGAATATTAAGAATGTAAAGAGGAGTTTCTCAAGGGATCTGTGCCTTATCTAACATCAAGAGAATTTGGAGGTTTTTAGCATAATTGCTTTGGGCTGTGGACATTTTGTATCACTACCAGGTTATTCTTTACTGTGGAAGGGACAGCATTTATAGGGAAAAAGAAGAGATACAAAGATGACTTTTTCTTCTTTCTTGTTTTTTGAGATGGAGTTTTGCTTTGGTTGCCCGGGCTGGAGTGCATGGCACAATCTCAGTTCACTGCAACCTCCGCCTTCCAGGTTCAAGTGATTCTTCTGCCTCAGCCTCCCAAGTAGCTGGGATTACAGGGCTTTTTCTTCCTTCTTAGAAACAAGCTCAGAGGTGTGCAGCGAAACCTGGCTGGGAATCTGGTTCAATTGAGTTCCCTGGTGAAAAGTAAAGAGAAAGCATACTTCATCCTGTCTCTCGGTAGTTCACACTCAGCTGTCACCCGCGTGTCCATCATTGTGCAGGTGAGGATTAGGGTCATTTCAGCCATGGAAGTGTGGCAGGGGTGTTGGAACTTCCAATAGGAAAGATAATGTCCTAGGAAGAACCACGTAGGAAAGGAGGACAGCTGGGGAGAGCTATTTTCTGGAACGGCGCGTTGGGAGAAGATTCCAGGAAATGTTTGTGCATAGAGGTAGGGAACAGACTTTCCGCTGTGCAGCTCACTTGAGCACACAGCTTTTAGATTGTAACCTTTTAAAAAACTGCCACCCTCCCTTGTGTTTCCCCTGCATTAGGAAGATGACCAAACAAATCAGTCATCTTCATTGAATACAGGCATTAAAAAAAAAACAAACTTGATACTTACTGTTGACTCTTTTTGCATCAGCTGCTACAATTTTATTTTATTTTTTAAATTTCAACTTTTATTTTAGATTCCTGGGGTACATGTGCAAGTTTATTAGCTGGGTATATTTTGTGATGCTGAGGTTTGGGGTATGATTGATCCCTTTACTCAGGTACTGAGCATAGTACCCAAGGTAAAAATTGTAAATCATTTATTTTTATTCTAACCATTGTTTCATGACATATATAAGTATCTGAATAATGTTTCTTTTTCTTTTTCTTTTTATAAAATTAAAAAAAATAGGCTGGGCATGGTGGCTCACGCTTGTAATCCCAGCACTTTGGGAGGCCAAGGTGGGTGAACTCCTGAGGTCAGGAGTTCAAGACCAGCATGGCCAAGATGGTGAAACCCTATCTCTACGAAAAATACAAAAAAAAATGCTGGGCGTGGTGGCGGGCGCCTGTAATCCCAACTACTCAGGAGGCTGAGGCAGATAATTGCTTGAACCCAGGAGGTGGAGGTTGCAGTGAGCCGAGATCACACCTCTGCACTCCAGCCTAGGCAACAGAGTGAAACTCTGTCTCAAAAATAAAAAAATTAATAAAAATACGTATTTTGTAGAAACAGGGTCTCACTATGTTGGAAAAGAGGGAACAGTTTATTGTTCTTCTGTTGACATCAGTCTCAATACTGGGTTTGTATGTACTCAATACATATTGATTACAGGAATGAATGTTGTTTGTGTGTTACGGGATGGGATAGGGCATACTTTTCTCGATGGAATATTTATGTATTTTGAACGAAGTTTTAGGGATGGTTTGTATCTTGGGGATGGGGTTAGGAAATATTTGGCATCTCTTGTGAGAGAGGAGAGACTCTGAAAGTTTTGTACCCTAAGATTTAGTTGGCAGACATAGGGAAGATGGAAAGGTGAGGAAAGACTCACAGGGAGCAGATCTTTTGAGTTCAAATCGTGAGAGAAAGGGACTCTGGCAGAGAGGCAGTGTTGAGGTCTCATGTGCCACATTGCCTGTCTCTGCATAAGCCAGGTCCCTGCCCAGCTGGTGTGGCACAAAGCCCTGCGGCCTGGTGCAGCCTATGTGCTGACGGAGCTGCGAGTGTCCAAGATCCGTGGTCGTCGTCACCGTGTTTGGATGACCAATCCCTCCTCCCATCTGTTGCTGCTGAAACCAGAATGTGTGCAGGAGCTGGAACCGGAGCTGGAAGGACCCCTCTTAGAGGCTGACCCCAAGCCACTCACCATGCCCAGCAATTCCCAGGACAAGAAGGATCCAAAAGGTCTTGTCCGGGATTCTAGACTCCTGTCGTATACGGTGAGTACAGGGAGAGATCCTAGAGGCTGAGGGGCTGGAAACATGGGTCTCCAAAGAGGAAGAAAGTAGTGGTCAACCGGACTTCGGCCTGTTTGCAGGGAGCAGTCACTGGTGTGTTGAATGAGCCTGCTGGCCTCTATGAGCTGGATGGGCAGCTGGGGCTCTGCCTTGCCTACCAGCAGTTCCATGGCCTCAGGCGGGTGATGCGGCCAGGACTGTGTCTGGAGGTATGTGAGATCAGGGCTGATAACAAAAAAAGACCTCTGCAGCTTCTCTTACCTTCATGGGCTCCTTTTCTGCAGCAGGGTGGTTACTTCTGCAGAAAGTACAGAAATAAAAAGTGTTGGGGGGGCACTTTTGTTAAGGATAACGTGGACAGAAGTTTAAATCAAAAAGGAGTCCTGGGCCCTGTAAGGAGGGGTTGTGGCCAGAGCATCTCCTTCACAGAAGGGCCTTCCACCTGGAGGAGGAGATGGCTGAAGTACAGGTGTGGGGCCCAGCTGATCTCAGGAGGCATGGTGAGAAGCCTCAGCCGTATCTGTTTGCCCAGTAGCCACCCAGCCCACAGCAAGACTGAGTGGAGCTCATGGGAGACGAAGGCTGACCGCAGTGGAAGTGGGTTGTAATGGAAAGTGAGGCCAGCCCATGTGGGAGAAATGCTTTTCCTTCTTCCTGGAACCCAGGCAGTGCCAAAATGCAGTTAACTTTGCCTGGGGTCAATGAGTTGGGGGCTTCATCTCTGCTTTTCACTTTCTCTGCTTTTCCCCAGCTCCAGGATGTTCACCTGCTCCAGTCAGTGGGTGGGGGGACAAGAAGGCCAGTGCTCGCCCCCTGCCTCCGTGGCGCTGTTCTGCTTCAGCGCTTCTCTTGTCAGAAGCCTGGGACTCACTCATCTCGCCAAGCCTACGGGGCCTCTCTGTATGAGCAGCTGGTGTGGGAACATCAGTTAGGACTTCCCCTCTACCTGTGGGCTACCAAGGCCCTAGAAGAGCTGGCCTGCAAGTGAGGAGGCTGAGGGCCAGGGTGGGGAGGCAGTGGGAGTAGCACCCTTCCTCGGCAAGGAGAGCAGGATTCTTGAAGAGACAGGGTCTTCCAGGGAAGTGACTACACTGCTTTTCCTGGCCAAGGCTGTGTCCCCATGTGCTGAGACACCACCAGTTCCTGCAGCATTCCTCTCCTGGGAGCCCCAGTCTGGGACTGCAACTCCTGGCTCCCACCCTGGATCTTCTAGCTCCACCACGCAGTCCCATTCGGAATCCACACAATGAGATCCTTGAAGAGCCACATCACTGTCCCCTACAGAAAGTATGAGGATGTGGGGGAAATATGGTGGCAGAGCACTGGAGGACACCTGGGGCCAATGGGACACACACCTGATTTCTCTTCCCTCCCTGACAGTACACTCGGCTGCAGACTCCTTCCTCCTTCCCCACTCTGGCCACCTTGAAGGAAGAAGGACAGCGTAAGGCCTGGGCCTCCTTTGACCCTGAGGCCCATCTGCCCCTCCTGGAGGCCTCCCACCTGCCCAGCTGCCAACTCAATCGCCGCCTGGCTTGGTCCTGGCTCTGTCTGCTACCCTCTGCCTTCCACACACCCCAGGTAAGGGGGATGCCAGCAGGGCTCAGGGGACTTCCTTTTTTTGTCATCCTTACTGCCACTACCCTAGTCTAGATTATTATCTTTTTTTTTTTTGTCATTTTGACTACACTAGCCTTCTAGGTAGACTACTTCTTCTGTTCTTGGCCCCCTCCAATTCATTCTCCCTGCAGCAAATAGAAAGGAGGGGATATGCCAGGCACAGTGGCTCATGCCTGAAGGCAGGAGGATCACTGGAGCCCAGGAGTTTGAGACCAGCCTGGGTAATATAGAGAGACCTTGTCACTACAAAAAATGTTTTTTAATTAATCAGGTGTGGTGGCATGTGCCTGTGTTCCCAGCTACTCAGAAGGCTGAGGTAGGATCTCTTGAGCCTGAGAGATCAAGGGTACAGTGAGCCAAGATCACACCACTGCACTGCAGCCTGGGCAACAGAGCAAGACTCAGAAAAAAGAAAGTTAAAAAAAATGTGAAACTGATCAGGTATGGTGGATCACGCCTGTAATCCCAGCACTTTGGGAGGCCAAAGCAGGTGGATCACGAGGTCAGGAGATAAAGACCATACTGGCTAACACAGTGAAACCCTGTCTCTACTAAAAATACAAAAAATTATTCGGACATGGTGGTACACACCTATAGTCCCAGCTACTCGGGAGGCTGAGGCAGGAGAATCGCTTGAACCTGGGAGGCAGCGGTTACAGTGAGCTGAGATTGTGCCACTGTACTCCAGCCTGGGCGACAGAGCAAGACTCTGTCTCAAAAAAAAAAAAAAAAAAAAAAAAAGTAAAACTTGTATTACAGAACTCTTTAAATCTTTTTTTTTTTTCTTGAGACAGGATCTTATTCTGTAGCCCAGACTAGAATGCATTGGTATGATCATGGGTCATTGCAACCTCAACCTCCCAGGTTCAAGTGATCCTTTCACCTCAGCCTCCCAAGTAGCTGAGACTACAGGGGTTCACTATCATCCCTGGATAATTTTCTTTTTTTAAAATTTTTTCTGAGACAGAGTCTTGCTCTGTCACCGAGGCTGGAGTGTGGTGGCACTGTCTTGGCTCACTGCAACCTTGCCTCCCAGGCTCAATGAGTCCTCCCACTTCAGCCTCCTGAGTGGCTGGGACTACAGGCATCCATCACCAGACCCAGCTAATTTTTGTATTTTTGTAGAGATGGGATTTTGCCATGTTTCCCAGGCTGGACTCACTTGAGTGATGTGCCCGCCTCAGCCTTCCAAAGGGCTGGGATTCCAAGGCATGAGCCACTGCACCTGGCCTGGGTTAATTTTTTAATTTTTAGAGATGGAGTCTCACTATGTTGCCAGGCTGGTCTCCACCTCCTGAGCTCAAGCAATCCTTCTGCCTTAGCCTCCCAAACTGCTACAGTTACAGGCGTGAGCCATTATGCCCGGCTTAAATTCTTTGCATGGCTCTCTCAGTGCATATAAAGTAAAATCAAACATCTCGTTGTGTCCTATGAGATCCCACATGGCCTATTACCTGTAACCTCTATTTGTGCCCTTTCTCTTCTCCCACTTAATGTGCGAATGCGTGTGTGTGTGTGTGTGTGTGTGTGTGTGTGTGTGGTGTGTCTGTCTTCCCCACTTGAACATAAGTTCTTTGAAGTCAGAGATGTGTCTTTTTTGTTCACTTTGTAGCTTTACCATGTAATACAGCATCTGGCAAATAGTAGATGCTCAGTATTTGCTGAATTAAACATTTGCTAACTCAGCCTTCATCTTCCTGCAGGTTTTACTTGGGGTTCTGGTGGCTTCATCTCATAAAGGTTGTCTACAACTTCGGGACCAAAGTGGTTCCCTGCCCTGCCTGCTCCTGGCCAAGTACTCTCAACCCCTCAATGACCCACGGCTGATAGGTTTGGAGTTCAGATGTGGAAAGAAGATGGTGGTGGGATGGTGGTTCTCACAACCAGGGAAGCCTAGGAGGAAACATCTGCTGGGATTTACTAGGGATGTTGGAGTGACACAGGTTGATCAACAACTTTTGGGAGACTGGTATGGCAGGCAGAGAACAGGGACAAGAGCACCCCCAGCCAGAACTGCCAGCATGCATTTCTCCACCATGGCTCCTAACATGCACTGCAGGATTACAGCTGTGTCTCCTACATTCTTAGTTTGGAGAGAAGGTGTCCCCGCTCTAAGGTGGGGGTCAGGTGTGGGCTTCCCTGTTAGGGCAGCAGCTCTGGTCTGGGGTGGGCAATGAGACCTGTAGGGTGGTCTGCCTCACAACCCACACCACAGGTCAAATGGAAAACTTTCCTCCTCTAGGCTGCCTGGTGCGGGCAGAGAGGTTTCAGTTGATCGTAGAGAGGGACATGAGAAGCAGCTTCCCTTCCTGGAAGGAGCTGAGCATGCCAGGCTTCATCCAGAAGCAGCAGGCCAGGTCAGCTCCTTGGGGTCATGGTTGTCCTGAGTCTAGGGGGAAGGAAGGGCCTGGTGAAAGGAGTAGGACACTGGGGCCCAAAATAACCAATGCCTACATCACTAAGAAATCTATTCCTTTTCTCTCCCCACAGAGTCTATGTCCAGTTCTATCTGGCTGATGCCTTGATCCTGCCTGTGCCCAGACCCTTCCTTCATTCAGCCATACCCTCAACACCTCAGACAGATCCCACCGGCTCAGAGGGACCCCACCTAGGACAGAGCCGGCTATTCTTGCTCTGCCACAAGGAGGCCCTCATGAAGCGGAATATTTGTGTCTCCCCAGGAGCAAGTCCAGAGGTGCCCAAGCCCACCCTCAGTTTCTATGTGTCAGGGAGCTGGCTTGGGGGCACCCAGAGGAAGGAAGAGACTGGATGGGGGCTGCCCGAGCCCCAGGGAAATGACGACAAGGATCAGAAGGTAAACTGGGACTCTAGGGACCCAGGACCTGACCTGTGTCCTGAGCCTCTGGCTGGGACCTCAGCACTCTGCTCTCCATCCTCACAGGTTCGCCTCGGTTTCTTTGGCTCTTCAGTCCGCTGGTTTGAGTTCTTGCACCCAGGGCAAGTGTACCGCCTCATAGCTCCTGGCCCCACTGTGAGTGCCCTACTTCAGCATACCTTTCCCCAGAAAGCTTTTTTGAGGTTGGGGTCTAAAGAGGGTGTGCCAGTGCCTGGTAATTCTCTAGGCCTTCTGGAAGAAGGCTGGATTTAGCTACACCAAAAAGCCTGTGTGTATCGACACACTTCCTTCTCAGTGTTCCAGAAAGAACAAAATTGGGTCACAATATATTGTGAACCTCCCCTTAGACTAGTACACACTCATAGGCAGTTGTCTCCCCATTTCCGTGCAGACGCCAGTGTTGTTTGAGAAGGATGGGTCATCCTACATGTCTCAGCGTCCTCTGGAGTTGGCTGGCTGTGCACCCAGCCTCACTGTCCGGGACAATTGGACTCTGGAGCTTGAGAGCTCCCCGGACATCCAAGATGTACTGGATACAAACAAGGCATTGCCTGAATCCTCACTGACCGACCTGCTCAGTGGCAAGTAAATGTCCACCAGCCCCTCTGGTTAATTTGGCCACTCTCTCTTTTCCCAAGCTAGCTGGGTTTGGTGAAGAGTTCATTCTCTGCTGCAGCAGGTATTTCTTTTGTTGTTATTGTTGTGTTTGTTTGTTTTTTGAGATGGAGTTTCATTCTGTTGCCTAGGCTGGAGTGCAGTGGCTTGATCTCAGCTCACTGAAAGTACTGTCAAGGATTCTCCTGTCTCAGCCTCCCAAGTAGCTGGGATTATAGGCGCATGCCACCACACCCAGCTAATGTTTTTGTATTTTTAGTAGAGACAGGGTTTCACCATCTTGGCCAGGCTGGTCTCCAACTCCTGACCTTAAATGATCCACCCACCTCGGCCTCCCAAAGTGCTGGGATTAGGGGTGAGAGCCACCATGTGCAGGTTTTGAATGATCTGCTACAATCCTGTTTCTCCCATAGGCCCTGTTACTCTTAGTGTGCAATTTGGCAGAGCTCAGCATTTTTTAGGACTTTATATATTAAGTTCTAGCAAATACTTTAGCTCCATTTTCTGCCTTTGATCTAACTCTCCATTCTGTGCTTTCTTGTGCCACCATTCTCAGTGTATTGCCCTGACCATTCAGTTTCACAGATTCCCTGGTGTCATTCTCTGCTGAGATTTTGTTCCGGACACTGTGTGAACCCCTTCCGGCCTCTCTCTGGATGAAGCCGGGTAAAGACCCTTCCTTTGTGGGGAAGGTATGAAATAGAGTGATGGGACCTTGTGGGCTTCACAGATCCCACTGACACCCACCTTCCTTCTCTAGGGAACACCGGGGCCGTGAGAAGGTGTGTGAAGCTAACTGTCGCTCTTGAGACCTCTGACTGTGAATTCCCCCCTCACCTGGACGTATATATCGAAGACCCACACTTGCCTCCCTTACTAGGACTCCTTCCAGGAGCCCGGGTCCACTTCAGCCAGCTGGAGAAAAGGGTTTCCAGGTGAAGATGTGTAGTGTAACCTGCCTCCTCTTACTACTGATGTGGCTCTCTATAGGGCTCACCCCCGCTTAACTGTGCTGCGTGATCCCTTCTCTTTGATACACCTTTCCATATATCAGTCTGCTGTTTGTGCCCAGTACCCTCACGAGGTGTTACAGACTAGTCCTCCTAGGCTTCCTCTAGCTTTGGTAGGGCCATGGCCAGGATATGCCCCTCACTGGGAGTGGCCAGTCTGTGGTGCCTGATCTCTGCATCACAGCTTCTACCCCAGTTTGACTTGTCTTCCTCGTCACTCGCTATTCCTCTTCTGCTTGCAGATCTCACAATGTTTATTGTTGTTTCCGGACATCCACTTGTGTGCAGGTCCTGAGTTTTCCCCCTGAGACCACCGTCAGGTCAGTGCCCAGACCCCAACCCCTGAACTTCTGGACTTCACATCTGCATCTCCCACATGCTCCCTGGTTCTGGAGCTTTTGCCATCACTACAGCCTTCTCCAATCCCAGCAAGATGTATTGAGTCAGAGGAGTTCCTCTACCCCAAATAAAAAATGCTCTATACCTGTCATTGTCCCCAGAATCATTTAGCGTCCTAGGCTTTTGAAGGCTTTTCAATCAACGTGGAAATATTTCTTGGCTAACATCATGGTGTTCAAACCTGAAAAATAACCAATGACTGTCAGAGAACAGGAATCAAAATGGGGGTGGGGGATGGGGCTTCTAGGAGAGCATGGAACCCATTGCTGTCCCCATCCTGATGCCTTCAGAGTCCTTCTAGACCCACCCTGCTTTCAGAACCCCTTTGCCTGTTCTGTTTCTTGACTCCTGTCTCTGTCTATTTAGCATTCCCCTGCCCCACATCTACCTGGCTGAACTTCTGCAGGGTGGCCAGACCCCATTCCAGGGCACTACCTCTTGCCATATTGTCTCTGTCTTCAGCCTTCAGCTCTTCTGGGTGTGTGCTTATTGTACCAGCATCTGCCCCCAGGTAAGGGAGGGAACAGGCTGACCTGGGTATGGAGTGCCAAAGGGATATGCTGGGACCAAGAGGACTTTTTCAACCACTGTCTTCATCCCAGGGAAAGTGCACTCGCCAGGGCTCCACTTGCCCTACACAGACATCTGTAAGCCAGGCCATCATCAGGTGAGAGCACAAATCAGGTGCCCATGATGCCATTTACTTCCTTATTAGACCACTTGGTCTGTCTGCGATTTCTACATTAGCGTAGTTTCTGGCTCACGAGACTTGCTTAATATATATTTTTTGAACAAATGAATGAGGGTAAGCTCCTAGGTCTTTGAACCAAAGACCGCAAACAGCAGGGAGGGAGGCATGTTGGGTCTGGGGTGTTGGCGACCTGGGTAGCTATAGGAGTTTTTATTTCTTCCTGCTCCCCATAGGCTCCTGGTGGAGGATGGGACTGCAGAAGCTGTGGTGACCTGTAGGAATCACCATGTGGCAGCAGCACTAGGGCTGTGTCCTAGTGAGTGGACCTCCCTCCTAGAGTGCGTCCGAGTGCCAGGCAGAGTGTCGTTGCAGTTTGCAGGGCCTGGAGCCCAACTTGAGGTGTGATGCGACTGGGCGATAGGGGCTCAATACCCAGATTCCTGGGCTTTGGCAGAGGGTTTAGGAGCTAGTTAACCTTGAACTTCTCTTTCTAGTCCTCAGCCAGGGTTGATGAGCCCATGACCGTCTTCCTCTGGACACTTTGTACTAGCCCATCTGTCCTCCGTCCTATTGTGCTTTCCTTTGAGCTGGAAAGGAAACCCTCTAAGATTGTCCCATTAGGTAAGGTTGGAGATGGGGGTGGATCGTGGTGGTACAGATAGATGGGTCCCTGGGAGGAAGAAGGATGAGGGACGGATTGGGAATTTCTGGAGTTAGGGAGGTGAACGGTGGGTGGGAACTAAAAGCCACATGCCTGAGACATGTTTTTCCTCTCTTTCCACCTTAGAACCTCCTCGGCTACAGCGATTCCAGTGTGGAGAGTTCCCTTTCCTGACTCACGTACACCCCAGGCTCCGATTGTCCTGCCTTTCTATCCGAGAGTCAGAGCACTCCAGCTCTCTGGGGGTCCTTGCCTCCTCCTGTTAACTGCAAGGATGGCCTGAGAGTTCTTCCCTCCTTGCTGAAAACCTGAAGGCCTAGGTCCTGGCTCTTCCCCTACTTGCTCTGTGATTGAACCAGGACTCCAGATCCCTTGATTCACAAACCGCTACTCCACTTTAATTTCCGTTCTTTGCTATTCTGGTGCCAGCCTGCCTTGACGAAATTGTAGAAACAGGAAAACATGGCACTGTTGATATTTCCTCTGACTGGGGACAAGGCACCCGCACTCACAGGCAGTCCTGAGCACCTGAGTTCTGCTTTTGTGGCAGGAGCTGAGGGAACAAAAGACTTGCTCACCATGGGGTTGATGCTGACAGGCCTATTGACTTGCAATGAAGCTCTCTGGTGTCGTTTCTCACTGGTTCTCATCTCTGGGGCCCCAAGCCTCCTGACACCTAGTCGTCCACCAGTCACTCATCATCATTTCACTCCTTTGCCACCAGGGCCAAAGGTGGCAAGTGATTTGGAAGAGAAGAGCTTCTGGTCCTGTAGCAGGATCAGCGGGGAACAAACCTCTCAAACACTGAACTGAGAAAGGAAGTGGCTTTTTATTCAGCCAGGAGCTTCGGGGGGCTACAGCCTTATTCACTGAGCTCCCTGAGAAGCAGCTTCTTTCCCTTTTTAAGGACTTATAACTCTAAAGGGGGAGTAGAGGTGAAACTGTGTTATTGTCCATTGGCTGGACATTTGACCCCACAACCTTTGGCTTCGTCGATGTGCTAGTTCATATGCAGCGTGAGTGGGAACAGGCAGGGGAGGAAGCTTATGAAAACAAGACAAAGTAAATTATTAGTTGGCAGAGGTATTTCCAGGAGGGCCTGGGTCGTGCAAACGTGGAGGACGTGACCCAGTGCCCAGCTTCAGCCAGTAGTGATACATTCTCTGCAACTCTTTCAAGGTTTATAAATAGCAGAGACACTGGAAACAAAAGGGAGTCATTTTCCCAGTCCTTGGGCCTCTTTACGGCCTGGTCAGTGGCATCAGCAAGTTGCCTGACCATGAATTCAAGCTCTTTGGTATTTTATCTCTTTTTACCCTCCTTTCGTCTGGAGGGAGGTGGAGGCCTTGGAAGAGGGAGATGGGGAGAGGATCTCCCCTCTCAGTCCAGCAGAAGAAATGATACCAAAGTCTATAAAGGAAGTAAATTGGGGGGTTGGCGGCAAGGTAGAGAACATGGCTATGATGGTCTCAGTCAGTAAGGTTGGGTCCTGCAGGAAGTAAGTCAAGTGTGAGTGCCTAGAGGTGTTCCTGAGCACAAAGATGGTGTGGCGGGGAGGGGGCAAATGCCAAGCTCGAGGAAGGGCAGGTGAGGAAGCCTGGTGCCTGTGCTATAGGGCCCCAGGCAAGGGTTAGCCCTGTAGGTTTCCCAGGGTCCAGGCCTAAGGCGGATCCTTGATCAACATAACATGAGACCTGAAGACAGTCTGAAGTCTCAATCATAGAGTTAGGGGATCTAGGAGCAATTGTTTGGAGATACCAATGCATTTGGCTGGTGTTCCCACATTTCTTTACTGGGAGCTGTTTGCTAGGAGGAGAGGTGGAAATGAGCTGAGGCACATCTTTCAGAGCTACCGGGAGGGCATTTCTTCCTGGCTGTTAGGGTTCCTTTGTGTTTGGGAAGGCTTTGGAACATAGTTAAAGTCTGTTTGTGGGTATTTATAGTGGAAATACCATATATTAAGATTCGAGGGAGCTACTTTTCACAGCTGGCCGGTTAGCTCAGTTGGTTAGAGCGTGGTGCTAATAACGCCAAGGTCGCGGGTTCGATCCCCGTACGGGCCAGGAGACAGGTTTTTGTTTTTTAACCCACTGCTGTTAAAAGTTTCTGCCCGGAGCCAGTTGCTTTCTGGTAACAATTACATTGCACCCCACTGCTTCCTATTGCTTGAATCACTGGTGCTCCTGAAGGCTTGAAAGGGAGGAGTCTGAAAGGAAAGTTCCTGTGCAGTGCCCGCGTCTTTTCCTCCCTGAACGTGTGTTTTTAGAGGCAGATGTTTGTCAGTCAAGGGAAGTAAGAAAAGCATCGGATGAAAGTACTAGCAGAGGTCTTGTAGTCGTGGCCGAGTGGTTAAGGCGATGGACTAGAAATCCATTGGGGTCTCCCCGCGCAGGTTCGAATCCTGCCGACTACGTGTTACTTTTTTCTTCAGTTTCCATGTTTCTCTCCTCCAGGACGGGATGATCCATTCGGCACCCTCCAAATCTCTCAGCTAGGAATTCTAGAATTGAGGATTTGATTTGAAGTCTATGATTTAGACTTGAAATCTATGATTCACTTCTTTCAACATTGGAAAAAGTCCCAGAAATGAAACAGCGATGCAAAACCCAGTTGATATACCAAATTATTTCTAGGAGGTTCTAGAAAAGCTGGGTTCACAGCATTATATTCTTGTAGATGAGTTTCAGGAGCCTTAGGGGCAGCTTTGGCGCCGTGGCTTAGTTGGTTAAAGCGCCTGTCTAGTAAACAGGAGATCCTGGGTTCGAATCCCAGCGGTGCCTTTATTCAGTTGAAACAGCATAATTTTGTGGTTAAATTTGCATCCTTTAATAGATTCATGGATTGTTTTTGTATCAGAACACGGAAGAGTTTCCATTCTGCTCTCAGAGCACCCACGTTTCCTGCTGAGTCCAGCTGCCCCTCCCATGAGATCACCACTCTAAAAGCTGGTTCTCTAACTGGGGCAGAAATGCTGCATAGGCCTAAGGGTCCTTTGCCCAGCTGATGCCACACCCCACTGTTGCAGGTGGCGTGGGTCCAGCCATTGCCCACCCTTGGAAGGGGCCACCCACCCTCCAGGCCTCTTTCCCCACCCTAGGATGTACCCTAGAACCTGAGCCACTTTGTTTTGTTTGTCTCTTCATTGTATTTCTTTGGGTTTGGTGGCTCATAATTTTACATTATACATATGGTATATAAATAATATGTATTTACATATTCAGTATGCAAAATTTGGTGCGGCTTCTAGGTGCGGTCTTCTAACTGGCCTTTCACATGCAGTCACCTCCATCCCTCTCCATGAGCGGGGATGTTAGGGTAAGGAGTAAGCAAGGATCCAGCTGGCCTGGCCTGGCACTGGGTTTCCTGCAGGAGGGTGCAGAAGGGCTGAGGCTGTGTGGACAGAGTGCAGGAAAGCATCATTCGGGAGTCCCCAGGAAGCCTGGTGTGGAAGGACAGGATGCATTTCTGGAGCACTGAAGCCAGGCTGGTTAAGGTAGAAGTAAATGCAAAAGAGAAGGCAAGAAATAGGATCTCTGGGCTCTTGGCTGGACCTAAACCTCCTTGGAAGATAGGAAGCTCTAGACACCATCCATTGGCCCATGAACCACCTTGGAAGATGAGCAAATGGCTCGAAGGGATTGCTACCTCCAGGTCAAGCCATTGATGCACAACTGCTGAGACCATGCTTGTGCCAAGCACTGGGCTGGAGCCCGTGCAGAACCAAATGAACAAGACATATACGGCTGGGTGCGATGGCTCACCCCTGTAATCCCAGCACTTTGGGAGGCCAAGGTAGTTGGATCACGAGGTCAGGAATTTGAGACCAGCCTGGCTAACTTAGTGAAACCTCGTCTCTACTAAAAATACAAAAAAGCCAGACGCATGGTGGCACATGCCTGTAGTCCCAGCTGCTTGGGAGGCTGAGGCAGGAGAATTGCTTGAACCCAGGAGGCGGAGGTTGCAGTGAGCCGAGATTGCACCACTGCACTCCAGCCTGGGTGACAGAATGAGACTCCATCTCAAAAACAAAGAAAGAAACTTGCCATATGTGCCACTAAAACAACCACTATGTCACAGGTCTTGTTCTGGGCTCTGAGAATACAGCAGGAAACAAATGAAAAGTTCTGCCTCACTGGAATTTATATTGGTGGAGGGAAGGAAGTGACGTGTTGCGGGGAGAGGGGCTGGTTATAGAAATGTCAAAGGCTTGCACTAGGGCAATTGCAGGAAGAGATCAAGACATGTTTAGGATTAAAAATAATAATAGGACAGGCTGGGCGCGGTGGCTCACACCTATACTCCCAGCACTTTGGGAGGCCGAGACGGGTGGATCACAAGGTCAAGAGATCAAGACCATCCTGGTCAACAAGGTGAAACACCATCTCTACTAAAAATACAAAAAATTAGCTGGGCATGGTGGTGCGCGCCTGTAGTCCCAACTACTCAGGAGGCTGAGGCAGGAGAATTGCTTGAACCCAGGAGGCGGAGGTTGCGGTGAGCTGAGATCATGCCATTGCACTCCAGCGTGGGTAACGAGCGAAACTCCGTCTCAAAAAAAAAAAAATAGGACTCAGTAACTGATAGGATGTGGAGTCTGAAGAGAGAAAAATTTGGGTTGATGCCAGAATTATCCTTTAGGGAAGTGTTGTGGGGTGAGTGCCACCACCTCAAATTCACCAGGGATATCTTCTTACCCTTTCAATCAAAGTGTGAGTGTCCAAAGTTAAACCTCAGAACTCAATCTTTCACTGTTGAGCTTTGACTCCTGTTAAAATGTAAAGTAGTATCGGGCCTGGTGGCTGACGCCTGTAATCCCAGCCAAGGTGGGAGGATCACTTGAGGTCAGTAGTTCGAGACCAGCCAGGCCAACATGGTGAAACCCCTCCTCTACAAAAATTAGCCAGGCCTCTAAGAGGCAGAGGCTGCAGTGAACTGAGATTGCACCACTGCACCCCAGCCTGGGCTACCGCTTTGTTTTCAAAAGACAAAAAGGAAAATAGTTCCACTAAAGTTTAAACAATGATCAGAGGCTGGGCACGGTGGCTCATACCTGTAATCCCAGCACTTTGGGAGGCTGAGATGGGTGGATCACCTGAGGTCAGGAGTTCGAGACCAGTCTGACCAACATAATAGAAATCTGGTCTCTACTGAAAATACAAAACTAGCTGGGTGTGGTGGCACATGCCTGTAATCTCAGCTACTCGGGAGGCTGAGGCAGGAGAACAGCTTGAACCTGGGAGGCAAAGGTTGCAGTGATTGTGCCATTGCATTCAAGTCTGGGCAACAAGAATGAAACTCCATCTCAAAAAAAAGAAAAAGAAAAATGATCAGCTGCTTTTCTCTTAGTTCTCCTCAAAGAAGTGGAGGTCTATGTATGCAGCCACTTCTTTGAGGAAAAAATAAATAACAGTGGGGTGTGTTGATGAGATTTCAGGGTATTTGTGAACTCCCTGGACTGTATACATGTCTAGGAAGAGGGGCCATAGCTTTCACAAGGGTCATAAAGGATTTAGGCCTCCCCTTCTCCAGAGATTAAGTGCCTGAGACCAGGTAAGAAAGAGGTGACTGGATTATTTTGCAGAGAAATCAAGGGTCCAAGGGGAGGGAGACAGGAAGTGGAAAAGGGTGGGGATAGG